GGCCACTGCTTGCCGGCCTTCCTTTGGCAGCTCAGAGAGCAGGTGAGGAGGAGGAGGAGGAGAAGCTGCTGCGTGACAGCCAGGGGGGAATGGAGCGGACTGCGAGGAGTCTTGATTTTTTTAAAAAAATATAAAAAATGCTTTGTGCATCGGCATCTAATCTCACCCCTTTCTAAAATTTATTTATTGGTGTGTTTTTTTCTTTTTGTAAATATACCAAAGAATAAACTAAAATAAAACCAGGATTAAGCAGTTTTCTCAGGACGGTGTGTGCTGTGTCTTGGTGGTATCACTTCTAAAAGGAAATGCTCTTTGGGGCATGGGACAAAAAAAAGAGGGGGTGTTGTGCAGGGTCAGTTGGTAGGGAGTGTGGAATGTCCATTTTCATCTGAGGAATGTTGGAGGATATGATATTAGGAAAGTGCTGTTGCGTTCAGGTCCTGTGTGGCAACTGTGAGAGCAGGCACCTGTCAGGGACCGTGCTGAGGAGGGCTGCAATGAGGAGGAATGGTGGGAGCCACCTCCTCCCCCTGCTCTGCTCCTGAATCTTCCCAGGAGCAGGAGGACAGTATAGATTTAGAACAGTGGTTTGCAGAGGGGCATAGTTCAGAAAGCAGAAGCTGGGAAATACTGGATGGGGAACAGCTAGAAGAAGAAGCACTGGGAGAGAGAGAGTTAACAGATTCACAGTCTTTGGATAGTATCCACACACACCCCATCTCCAAAGTCATGGAGAGCTCAGAAAATGTAAGAACAGAAAGCCCAGAGGCTACAAGCCCAGAATACAAAACGTAGGAGTGAAGTAGATTAATAGGGATGGAGGGGGGAGTGACCCTTAATTGGGAGTACCTCCATTCTGGGTAGACGCTTTCTTTCGTTCTTTGCTGTGTTTATTAAAGAAACTAACTGGTAAGAACTCCTTTTGCTTGATCTCCTCATTTACGGCCATGGGGGGGGGAACTGATTCCCTGATGTCTGACAGCTGCAGGATTGGATGGGCCTTTGGCCTGATCTTCTGGGGCTCTTCCTATGTCCACCCTGGAAGCTGAGGAAGAGAGTTCTGTGCTTTCCCCCTTCACCCCACAGCCCAATTTGGCTCACCGCAAATAATGCAAGCACATTGACTAGATTTGGGGGGAGGGCAGGAGGCCTTCTGTGGGCACCCCTCCCCGAGCAAGTCCACCTTCTCTATGTCACAGTGCCTGCTCCCCATTTTTTTGCCACGAGCCCAACGTGGCTAACACCCAGAAGGAGAAGGCAAGGCAGATCTAGACAACCACTTCCTCTCTTCGCTTGTGTGGTTGCTTGCATAGGACAGGTGAACAGGAAGTGAGGGCAAGGAGGGGGCTAAAGGCTCTGTGGGTCAACAGTGGGGCCTCTGTTGTGGAGTGTACCTCAGTTATTGCCCAGTGGTACCAAATCCCAGTGCTGGCCCTGGGTAGAATTCCAATGCAGGTTCCTGCCTGAGGCCTAACCTCCCCTTTCCCACCCCTACCCCTGTCTCTCCACAGATGTCCATCATCCTCTCCGGTCTTATCCATCTCTTTCGACCATTGCTATCCTCCCTCTCCGGTGCACTCGACTGCGAGGGCTTGAACCCATGGTACTTCCTGCTGGGCCTCCGCATCATGGCCATCTTCTTCGCCAACGGCCCCTGGGACAAGATCAAAGACGACACCAGCTGCAGTATCACAGAGGGCGAAGGCGACCTGTTGCGAGACTTCTGCACAGCCCTGTGCTACAACCAACATTTTCCCGTCTCCATCGCAGCAACATGGGGGCTGGTATTCATCGCCTTGATCCTTCTCGTAGGGCTCCTGCGGCTCACCACCCCCAAGGAGAAGAAGAAGAAGAAGAGGAGGAGAGAGAAAGAGGATAGGGATAAAGGGGAAGGCTTGGCCATTGTTGCCACAGCATCCCACAGTGGCGTCCCCGACATATCCACCATCTACAACGTTGGGCGCCGTGGTCTCCCTAGGAACTATGGCCACGACCATGCCCACCATCGCCACCCTGCCCACCATCCTTACTATACCCACTGGGATGATTGGCACGGGGGGCATGCGGCTCCCATGGCTGAAGGGTATGGCCCCAGTGTGAGCTATGGTCCAACGGACACTAGGCAAACCAAGATGGCTGCACATCAAGGTCACATGAGGCAAACCACTGCGGCATCCTATTGTGGCGAAAAGGAGCAGTGCCACGTGGCCACCAAGAGCACCTCGGCCTCCCTTAGCGGCTCACCTTACAAAGGCAAAATGCCCCCTCAGTCTTGGTCAGGTGACGAGCACAGAGAACCCCTCCACTGGAGATACGTCGACCCTCAAGAATCGGGTGGTTTGGCTAATGATGGGTATGCTATGGGCACACCTAAAAGATACATCGGCCAAGGTATCCGTGATGATGGCAAATACAGCACGGCCACCAAATGCAAGTCAGACACCGAAGGCAGCATGGGCTACGTCCCTGCCCATCCCTGGGTAGATGACAAAGCAAACATGGCCATCAAACGCAGGCCAGCTCAGGGGTGTAAGTTGCACAGCCAGCGCCACGTAACCTTTGACACCACAGGCAGGAGTGATGGGGACTTTGGAGGCAATGTGTGCAACCAGCCATGGATGGCTGGAGACTCCCACTGCAAGCCCGTTGGCCAGGCACAGGTCATGTCCGGACCAGGCATGGTTGCTGGACCGATGCTGTGTTACCATGGAGACACGGCCTGCACATGCACCGAGGCTGAGCCATGTCACGCGACCCCGCCGTGTGAAGCTGCCCACCACCACGACCGACACAGAGAATCTTCTTCTAGGCGGAAGAAGAGGCCCAGGATCACTAACATCTGTGGTGTCCCCCTCTTTGATATCTGGGTGGGACTTATCCTTGCCTTGGAGATCTCTTTCCTCTGTGTCATTTTCATCTTCCAGATGCCCAGGCTCTGGGGTGCGTATTGGGTATGCACCCCGTCGACTACCAGGTGCCAGCAGCAGATTGAGTGCACCATAAATGGCAGGGCTGAGAAGCGGGTGGCGCTGTGGGGGCTGGTTTTCACCTCCATCCTTTTCATCATCACCTGCGCCGGCTACTTCCACCTGCGGATGTGCTGGAACGAGAGCTGCCAGAGAATGTGCGGGGAGAAGGAAGAGGAGAGCCACGAAGAAGTGTGCTCTGAGGAGTCGGAGGAGAAGGATGACGACAACAGAGGGCGTGAAGTGGGGGTGTGAGAAGGGTGGCGAGAGGCCCAGACAACCACCTCAAGCCTCGGATCACAGGCTCGCATCAGAACTGAGCGTTCCTCCATACAAGAAGAAGTCCCTCTCAGGAAAAATCCACAGGAGGATTCTGGGAACTGTAGTTTATCGAAGGTGCTAAGGGTTGTTGGGAGACTTGTATTCCCACCCCAAAGCTATGATTCCCAGAGTTCCCAGTGAAGAGGGATTGCTTGTTAATCTGCTCTGTAAATTGCAGCTATGAGTGGGGAATACGGAAGGTCTCCTACCAACTCTCAGCATCCTTAACAAACTACAGCTCCCATAATTCTTTTGGGGGAAGCCATGACTGTTTAGTGGTATCACAATCCTTTAAAAGTAAGGTGTGAGTACGGCCTCAGTCTGGTGAATTCCAACGTGCCGCCCTGAAACTGCAAAGTGTGGAATTTTGTCACTTCTACATTCACTTAAAAGTCTCCGTTTTCCTATTCCAGGCCTTGTTCTCTCTGAGATTGTCAAGGTGTGTCTGGGGAGCAGCCCATGCAGCAGTCTGAAGTTTAGACTGTAGATGGTGGGGTCTCATGTGACTGAAGGTTCTTCCGTTCAAAATAAAATCTCTTACATACAGAAAACAATAGATTCTCCAGGTCAGTGGGGGTTTTATCAGCCGGAGCACACTGGAGCGCAGTTCTGGCACCTCTCTCATGGGCGCCACTTCTGTTGTTGGAAAAATCTTTGCCAAGTTCAGACATTGCTTGATTTTCTTGTGTTACTCTTGGTGGTAAAGAATGCTAGCAATGTATTTATTTTACTTTCTTTCCTTTTTTGTTTTAAAATGTACCATTTCAGTGCAGTGCTTATTTGTGACAGCTCATGCTAGTTCAACGAACGGGGAGTACCAATTAGTCAAGAGAGATTTTTGTGGTAGATGAGAGTGGTATAAAATTAAAGGGGCGGGGAGGAGAGAATAAAACAAGATGCTTCCTGAGCCATTTCCCTGCAGCAAGTTACCCATAATGACTTCAAGAAATCCCTTAAGATCTGGAATCAAAGGAATGTAATTTGGACGAAGTTCAGATGAAGGAGCAGAATGAATGCATACACAGGGAAGGATAATTTCATTTCTTTTTAAACCACAGCACGCTCATTAGTTTAATTAGCCTTTAACCAACTTTGAGCAAAAGGGAGGAGTTACAACTTCATTGAAAGCACAGTCAAGAGGTAAGAAGTACATACAACCGCCACCCTGAAACTGTGCCCCACCCCAGCCTGTAATGATGGCAGGCAAATCAACCCCAGGGTTGATTTAGGCCCCTAATGCAGGACCAGGGCTTCTCCTGTGTACCCATACAGATGAACAACCAGTTTCTATTAAGGAGAGCCCAGGAGTCCTGCAAACTAATTGCATGCAAGATAAACACCACAAGCAGAGATTAGAGCAATTAATTCCAGCGTTCTGAACGCCGCCTTTGTTTTCTTTGAGATGAAGAACTTTTGTTAAATCACTTTTGCACCTTCATTGGCAAGATTTGAAAGGTTCAAATCATCAGGATATGAATGCTTAAAACTATTGTTTAATTGTATTCAATATCAATACTGTACTTCCGGGTTAGCGGAGTCTGTAACCTGAAGCGACTGTAACCTGAAGCATCTGTAACCCGAGGTACCACTGTAACCTGAATTTTAGTATTATACAATATAAAAAGATGGGTCTACTGCATGTCAGTCACATTGTCACTCGGAACTGATTGAAATAGTGGGTTTCGACATCGTTCCAAACCACACTCCAAAAAATTAAACCAAAGTAAAACTTCTTTATTGATATATTTTGATACGGCAACACACAAAAATAAATCTCTGCAAAAAAACACAACAAATTGATGCAAACAGCAATTGAACATACAGTGAACACTAGACAGGGTTATCCAGAGGAGGAGAGGCAAGTAGGGGAAATGGCAGATGGCTTCTTGCACAGGTCTTCCTATTTGTTTCATTGGGGCTTGTGCGGGCAAACACTGTCACAGATTATGACCTGCAGCAGAAATCTAAACTGGACCAAAACCAGGATAATTGCCATGTTTTCTCCTCCAGTGAACTTTGGAACCTGTAATTCTGTGAGGATTCTAAAGCATCTATCTTGTGGTGCCCTAACACTGGCTTTCAGAAAACCAGTAAAAAGCTTTTGTAGATTCTTTGGTTTGGTTTCCCTAAGTGCCTATTCACAAAAGTATCATTAACTATTTTGTACTAATAAGTGCGAGATGATTACCACATGTTATCTCAGCCAAAACAACAGTGTGGCTTCTTTCATCTTAGGCAAACAAATTTTGTATGTGGCATAAGAATTCGTGGATTAGAAGCCACTTCATCAGATAAAGAGGATTCAAGTTCACGAAAGCTTGTGCTGCTATTAATCCATTTGTCTCTAAAGGTGCCCTAAGCCTCTTTGTTGCTTTTGCTGCTGCACACTAATGTATCTACCTCTCAGGAAATTGTTGCCTCTCACTCCAAGGGAGTTAGAAATAAATCACGGAGAACCCACATCCCACCCACTTCAACGCCTTGATAATTGGTCCAAAAGAATGACCGAAGCATATTAAGAGGCAACAATCTGTAATAATGGGTCCTGAAAACCCACTTAACTGTAATGGTTATCCAGAAATAAATATTGCCCATTACTCCAGCTATACTCCTCCCATTTGTGGTCTACTTTAAATTATGAACATCTATACTCCGCTTACCCTGCAACAGATCTTGGAGAATTAGCTAATAAAGATTCATTCACTGGCTGCTTGAAAAGATGTACTTTTGATATGATACAAAGCAGTAAGCTGTCTGGTTGGAAAGATTTGGGATGATACCTGAATTAAATGAGAAGAGTGTCCATATGAACCTACATGCCCACTGGCCTGGATAGGGTTGCAATAACTGGTTAGCCTATTCGCACTTCTGTGTTAAAAGTCCCCTGCAAACTGGTTCTGATAATAGGGCTCATTGCCCACAACTGTTTTCGACATTGTGGAAAATTGCAGCAAATTTGACGTCGTCAATTCACCCTCTTTCTGAAAATGGCAACCAAGACTTTCTGCTACAAATAGAAGGCCGTTGTTTCTCCAGCGCAACCTCCCTCCTCTTTGTAGCCCTGGATTTTCCACCTGTACAACCACACCAAGGTGTTTTCTGCACAGCTGCGAAAAAGCAACAGCTCAAACCCCTTGTCTTCTAGAAGGAAAAAGAGGTTTGGTGAAACTAAAGGTGGCTGGGAAACCAGGACTCCTGGTTTAAGATCACTGTCTCTACCTTGCAGATACCATACAAACAGGAAAAAGGATGTGGTCGGAAACACTGGTGGTGCAAGCGTTTCTCTCCTGGGCTCCTCCGCCCTTCCACCAGCTCCGAACGGACCGGGAACAGGGCCAATGGAGTGTCCTAATATACTGGAATGGGGGTAGAAAGGGGCATAAGAAGTGTGTCCTCCGTTGGTCTTTTAGGAAGAGGCTACTCCTGGTTAGCTGGGGGTGGAGGGAACACCATCTCCTGAGAGGACTGCATGGTGGATTCTGGGAGTTTACCATTTGCTTGCCCAGAAGCCTCTGGGCTGGAGCCTCCGCCAGCATCTCCACAAAGCAGTTTCTGGTTCTCCCCGCTCTCTCCTTTCTCGCCTATTTCCTCCATGGCCACCGAAGGCACCCTCGACTGACGCTTGCCGGAGAACGTGATGAGTGTGTTGCGCTTGGTCTCCTCTTCCTTTGCAGGCGCTGCCCCTTGCTCAACATCACGATCCAAGGCCGAGTCGTCTGGCAGCGCCACCTGCCCTGCCCACCCCTCGTTGAAGCTGGTTGAGCCAGAGCGGCGCCTTCGCCTGCAAAGGAGGACGGCAGTCAAGAGGATCAGGAACAGAAGGGCACAGAGGACAGCGGCCACAATTATTCCAGTCTGGCTCTTCTCAGAACTTGCTCTTGGGCCAAGGACAGGGCTTGTTGTTTGGGGGACAGCTGTCGTGGTTGAGGGCCACTGAGCAGGCCAATGGGTGCGGTTGTCCATTGTTTTGGTGTCATCTACCACATCTTGTTCTGGCTTCGGACTTGGCTGTGCTTCACCCTTGGTAGTCTGTTTTGAATTTGACCTTGGTTTGAGGCCAGATATACCCCCAACGGTAGTCTCGAGAGGGGCTGTTGTTGTATTGAGAGGGTTTGCTACGCCACTGGTTGTACCAGTTTTTTGTCCCACAGCAGCTGCTTCTGTGGTAGGGCTGATTGCAAATTTTTGTCCCACAACAGCTGCTTCTGTGGTAGGGCTGATTGCAAATTTTTGTCCCACAACAGCTGCTTCTGTGGTAAGGCTGATCGCAGGGCCGGTAGAGGGATGGCGGCCTGATGTATTGTTGGTGATAGTTTCATCTTCATCTGTGCTGCTATCTTGGAGAGCAGTCTCTGTAGTGGCTGCTTTTAGAGACAGTTTTTTAGCTGCAGCAGTGGGCTGAGACAAGGGGAGAGCTGAAGGCTTGGCTGGAGAGGCAGAGGTTGCAAGCTCTGTGCCCACCCTTTCAGTTGTGAAAGTTGACGTGGGGGGAAAGATGGTGGTCCCCACAGGCCGTGTGTCTGAAGTAGCAGAAACTTGCCCATCAACATGTGCAGCCACGGTCAAAAGAATAAGGACGCCAAAGGGCATGCCGTAGCCAATTATTTGCCTGAGAAGGGATCGCGTTTCCATGGCGGCAGAACTCCAGAGGGCAGGGCCTGCTTGGCTAGTGATATGTAGTGGAGCAACACGGAACAGCAACCTGGGAACAAAATGTGAAAAGTTTTTAAAAAACATTTTTCCCCCTGGAAGATTGCACTGAAAAGAGCAAGAGAATATCTAAACACCTGGGTTTTTAAAATTAGGGACCCGTGAATCCTTCTGATGGGTTGGGGACTTCGTGCTCAGGACACCCCACAGCAAAATTCCTTTCCAGCATTTAACAAGGTCTGGAGCTGACCGCACCCTTTCTCTAGTCTTGCAAACTAGTTTTATTTGGTGAATTGATTTGTATTGCTTTAATGTAAAAGCTGTTCGCTAGTAACATAAAAGGAAGCTGTCTTATACAGAGTCAAACCACTTGGTCTATCTAACTCAGTGCTGTCCCCACTCACTTGTAATGGCTCCCCGGGATTTCAGACAGGGATCTTTTCCCCAGCCCTGGGGATTAAACCCGGGACATTCTGCACTCAAAGCAGATGCTCTAAACACTGTGCTATCAACCTTCCCCAGCGGCTTTGAAATGAACATGATATACATTGGATAAGAGCAGGGCCATCTTAAGCATATCCGGCACTGTGTGCAAAGATTCCTCTGCCGCTGCCCCCCGGCAACTCCAAAACAAGGGAGGGGGGGGTGGAAAATGTCCTCTGCCTCCCCCACCACCCCCATCCCTGGCGTGGTGGCAGCGATCAAGCAGGAAAACGTGCTGGCGGACATGCTCTCCAGTGTCGGGCCGCCTGAGAAGGCTGTGCACCGCCTTTCGCCAGGACGCAGGAGGACAGCAACCAGGAGCAGGGCCATCTTTAGCAGATGCAGAGGATTGGGGGGGGAGCTGCACGCCTGTCAGCCATATAGTTGGCGGGGCACAGCTGGCGGGCGTGCAGGGAAAGGGGAGGCTGCCGGCAAAGCCGCGCAGCTCCCCCACTCGTTAGGGCGCCTCTGAGAGGCCAGCGCCCTGGCGCAACGAACCACTAAGTCCAATGGGAAAGACGGCTCTGGATAAGGGAGAAAAATATAGATAGCTAGAAAGAAAGAGAGTTGTATGCAAATCTAGAAGGACAGAAGCATATGATGAATAAAAGGATGTATTTGTGGGATACTCAGTCCCATATAACCAACGTGCTTAACTCTAATTAATGCATGGAGGGGTTAAGACCATAGAGTAAGCTGTCCTGCCGGGCTTAGGTCACTCTCTCTTATCTTGGGAGAAAGGGTTATCAAGCTTTCATTCTTCCCATTACACCATTTGCACTCCTGCAAGTAAGGAGGCTAAGCTAGTTGCTCCAGCTTAGCTTCATGGCTTTCTGCAAGCCATCCTTTTGTTTCTAGGCAAATAACCATTCACCACTTTAGAACTTTAGTTTTACTGCCTGTCTTTTTCTGACTGCTATATGAGAAAGCACATGAACCTGATCTTTGAAGATTTTGTATGCAAACCATTTTTAACTTGCCAAACATGTAGTCTCTTTCTATGCTAAGGGAAGAGGAGGACTTAGGAAGCATCTTAGAAGGAGATATTTTAAAGATCCACCAGCCTATATATTTCCACGCTTTACTTTGCTGTGTATTTTTTTAAATTTTAAATCTCTGCTTGGGTTCTCTTACCAAAGAGTACTTGTGCCAAACATGGATCTTGGCATCTGCGAATTCTCTTTTAAACCAGACAACAAATGAACCAGCAGTATTTTCAAGTCAGGTGCGTGAGAACTTTAACAAAATGGGGCTCCAATCAAGAGGAATTCCTAAGGAATATGGTGGACAGGAGCACTCACTATTTTGTGCCTGGGGATTGGTTGAGGGCAGAACTGCCTACAACCGTTCTAGGAAGGGTTACCACAAGGAGTGGCACTTCCTACCAGGCAGACACATTTCTCACGTCTGAAATCCACATACATCTGCAGGAGGGCAGCAACCGATGCATCACCGGAAAAGGAGGAAATGCATCACTCAAAAAAAGTTAACAAATGATGGCACATATAATTTATAGGCATAGCTGAAAAATTGGAATGATGGGGAGGGGCTGAGGAGAGAAATGTTAATTGTGTGTTTCATGCTATATGGCCAGTTAAGCAGTTAGGTGGAGAAACACAGCCCAGTGTCGACAGGTGGGCAGGACAGCCCATTTGTCAATCATGTGACATCACTGGGGTTTCATGTGACTGACAGGCAGGTTGTTCCTCCCACCTGTCAAAATCTCTTGTGTGAGGTTCCCAAGCACCCGACAGCCAGCTTAACTGTTGGGTGCTTGACCCTTTGCTTATTTTTTTTAATAAATAATTTTTATTGAGTTTTCAGTTTCTTACATTAATTTTATTCTTTTTTTACAAACTTTAAAATATCCAGTGACTTCCCTTCTTCTCCTTCCATGGTTCATGTTACATATCATACATTCCTGCATATTTTACTATAACCATTCAAATCAATTTTCCACTTTTACACCAATCAAATATTGTTTACTCTGTTGAATGCTGCCAGTGTTTTCAGCTTACAATTATTTTCCATATATTCAATAAATATGTTCCACTCTTCTTTAAATATATGTTCTTCTTGCTCTCTTATTCTGTGTGTTAAGCTTGCAAGTTCTAACATCTTAAGTTGCCAATCTTCTTTACATGGGACCTCACTCACTTTCCATTCTTGGGCTAAGAGAACACGGGCCGCTGTTGTTGCATACATAAATAAACTTCTGGCACCTGGGAAATTCTGTCTGGGTTATTCCCAACAAAAAGGACTCTGGTTTTTGGGGGGAAGGTAAATTTAAACATTTTTTTCAACTCATTATAAATCATTTCCCAATATTCTTTTACCTTTCTGCATGTCCACCACATATGAAAAAAAATTTCCTCCCATTTCTTTACATTTCCAACACGTATCTGATTCAGCTTTATACATCTTAGCCAACCTACTCGGAACTAAATACCATCTATGAATCATTCTCAAATAGTTCTCTTTCAGAGAATAATGTGTGGTAAATTTCAAATCTCTTTTCCAGTGTTTCTCCCAGGGATTTAGGTCGATATTGTCTCCTATATCTATTGCCCAGTGTGGAGTGCTTGACCCTTTGGGAAGTACTGAACAAAGGGCTGGAAAAGTGTGTCTTTCTCTCTCCCCCCCCAAAAAAAAATCAGCTGATAGAGGCGGAGATAGATGCTCAGATTTTTCAGGTATCAACAACATGGAGGGGAACTCCTTCGTATAGCCCACAAAATGCTTCCACAACAAGGCACAGGAGCGCATCTTGCTTCAGGCAAAAGAACAAGCGGGAATTTCCTTTAAGCTCCCAGTAGTTCCTGTGAAGCCACACCTGGGCATGGTTTGGGGGGGAAACAGCTCTCATGGGCCAAATTGGGACCTCTGGCAGGTCAGGTTTGGCCCATGGACTGGTGGTTCCCCACCCCTGATTGAAGGGATCTCTTTTATTAGCGTTCAGGATCTAGAATTAGCACACTGTGCCACTTGGACGGGACACACCTTCCTACAGAGGAGCCATTCAAACAAAGGGCTGCTGTCCTCTGTAAAGTAGGAGACAGGACCAGTTTATTTCTGCAGGCTTCTCAAGTCTTACCCCACAAATCAAATTGAGTGAGGAGGAACTGAAAGAGACAGGAAAGGGCGGGGAGCAAGGCTGATGTGGTTTGGGGGGGGGGAGGAAGCAGGGATCGGAAGAGGAAGGTGTGGAACGAGCCGATAGCTGAGAAAGACAAGTGAGGAAGACCACATACGAACAGGTTTCCATGCTCCAGATTTCCCTTGTGGTTTTAATTTGAATGCATTATAGACACGAGCATTTTTTTTACATTTCAGAAGCTTCCAATCTTTGTTAGAAGCCGCCCAGAGTGGCTGGGGAGACCCAGCCAGATGGGCAGGGTACAAATATTATTATTATTATTATTATTATTATTATTATTATGCAGATTGCATGAGTGATGGCTCAGAGCTCAGCGGCAGAGCCCATGCATTGAGTACTAAAGATCCCAGGAGCTGCAATATAAGATGAGCCCTATCAGACCGGGAGTTGTTCGGGACCTGGAGACAGGCTCTGTATAAATGCCATGCATATATTTGGGAAAAGAAAAAAAAAAACCAGAGAAGAGTCTAGAATGGAGTTGCCATCTTTGGAATCTCATCTGTGCTTGTGCATTTTTCAGAGTTATATCATGCCTGAGCTCTTTTGTGGCAAGAGCCTGCTGTATCAGGCCAGTGGCCCATCTAATCCAGCATCTGTTCTCACACGCAGCCAGAGTGCAACCCTCCTGTGGTTTCCAGGAACTGGTATCCAGCAGTATTACTGCCTCCAGCAGCGGAGGCAGAACAGAGTCACCACCATAGCTAGTCATTGATAGCCTTGCCTGCATGAAAAGGTCTAATTTTCTTTTACAGCCATCCAGACTGGTGGACATCCAAGCCGTGGCCTAGCCGGTGAGGCTGCCCAACTCAATGGTTCGGAGGGACAAAATCTCCCCACCCAGCAAGGCCACACCCAGGATTTTCCACTCAGGAAGAATAACACACTTTGCTGACGGAAGTGGCCTGTAGTACGAGCGGCAGAGCTAACCGCTCACAACGCCACCTCGCCATCCGGTACTAACGGGCAGCTAGGGGGCAGGAGGAACCATTCAATCCTGTCCTCATTTAAAGGCGAGCCTTTCACTTTCTGAAACAATACATGAACCAAAACGCAGCCGTGCTTTGCAGTTTGCCAATTTTGCAGCACGGTTCTCCAGCCGAGTTACACGTACAGAAATGAAGCAAAGTGTGCACACAAAAAATGCACATGTGGGTGAAAATATTGTACAAAAATGCATTCTATTGGGGGAAATTGCTTTGCAAAAATGTGTAGACTAGGCACAATTGCATGCAAAAATAAAAATACATATATTAGGAGAAATTAGCGCTGAAATTTTCACCTAGACTCTTTTTAACAAATTGTCAGTTGATGTGGAAATGTGAAGAGTTGAAGATATGAGAAATGGAGAGAAACTGAAAATGGGCAGATATACCCATCATTCCTTCCCGATCCAGTGGGTGTGGTCAGAGGCAGATTTGGAAGCACTGGGCGCTGAGTATAGGGAGCAGTGTAGCTATGATATAGCAAATAGATCAGAATGGAAGGTGAGAGGTGGGGCTGTCAAATTTTGGCCCTGCAAAGGATGCCACTGAAATCTGAAAGAGCAAAGTCCGCTCTTGGTGTGGTCCAAAGGCACATGAGTCTACTCCCTTATGGATGCAAAGAAGGCTCAGTGCTGATCAGTGCCTGGATGGGAGACCAGCTGAGAACTTACATGTACACTGCCTTGAGTTCCATAATCAGAAAAAGGCAGGATACCATTGTAAGAAGGACGGTAGGAGTCAACCCAAAACCTGCTGAAATCCCATGGTGGCTTGATGCTGAGGAAGAGAGCAAGCAAATGGCTCCGTCCTCATGCCCACCCAGAGGGAAAGGCTAGCAGAGACTGCAACTCCTTCAGCTCACTTGTCACATTTTCCTCACTCAGTGAAGGTTAGCAAAAGGCGGTGGCAGCCAGGGCTGGCGGTTAGTCCCCTGGTCAGGAATGGGCCGTGACACCTGCCCAGCCATACCATACCCTCCAAGGCCTTGAAGCCAAAATCCAGGACGCCATCTTCCTGAGCTGCATTTTCCGATTTTTTATCATGAGAACATCATGGTCATGGTTCCCCCCCCTCCAAAAAAAAGAACACTCTTTTGGGCAAGGCACCCAAAAATGAATGTTTGGGGATACCATGTGCTATCACGCCCTGAAGAAAGCGCTTTTCCGTGGGTGGGGGGCTTGCGCCGCAAAACCATGCAAGATCACAGCAACCAAAATGGCCACTTTTCTCTCATGATAAAAAAAAAAGGATGCCCCATTTTTTCCTGGAACACTTGTGGGGTATGCAATATCAACTTCTGACACCTCCACCATGCCCCAGAGCTGGGATTAGGAATATGTGTGTATGTGTGTGCCTGTTGAATAGGAAGCTGGCAACTGGTGGTGGCCATGAAGAGATTTCTTCAGACAAAGGACCGTTTCCTCTCATGGGAACCTGGCTGTTCTTCCATATCAACAGGGAAGACCCAGGCTAGGCTTTCCAGAAAGAAACATCCAAGGGTGGAGTCTGGAAAGTTAAGATAGAGCACATGACATAGTATTTGGGGGAATACTTCAAGGGCAAGTGGTATTGCTGAGGGAGTTGGGTGACGCAGTGGAAGCTGAAGCCCATTGAGGGACATCTTGGCCAAGGCCTGCTCTGAAACCTTAAACTGGCACTGGCCAAGGCCCTGCCTGCTGCCACTTGCAGCTGAAGAATTTCCCTCACGTACCAAGTCCTGTGCCCAGTCCAAATATCCCTGCCAACCACTTTGGCACCACAGTAATTATGGCCATTAGAGAATTACTGTAAATTCAGAGGCTCGTGTTATTTTGCCACCCTCCACCCTCGAACGTTTCCTTCATCTTAAGAAGCTGCCAGGCTCCTACGAAAGGAGACGGCCCTTTAGGTATCCTAGTCTGATGTTGAGACATTCTCTTAATGAGATAATTGTGTGGAAATGCTGCCTGTGTGCTGCAACACTGTATATACGTTTATTATATCTCTATCGTGCCTTTCAGCAGGAAACCACAATGTGTCTCATGGAAGGAACGTAAAACAAAAATGGGTCAAAGGAGGCCAATGGAAGGAGCCTCACTGTGTGCGCCCCACAAAATGGCTGACCGCTGAGAGAACCTGGGGAGAGGAGGGGCCGGGTGGCAGTTGTGTAAGGCGGGTGGATGGAAAGGGCCGCTCCCTCTTCCTGCCACAGCCTGCTGCTTCTCTTTCTAGTGTTTCTCTCATACTGCCATAATTAAAAGAAATAGAAGCAATAAAATATAAGTAAGTAAGAAAGAAAGAAAGCTGAATGATCAGGGTTGTTCCAGCCCACGGCAGTTCTCTGCCTGAAGCATTGCCTCATCACTGCTAGGCCCAACCCTCTAAAAAAATATTGCAGTGCCATTTGGACACCTATTTCATGTGTTTCCCTTGTTGTCTCTCTACAGGGCAGGCTCCAAGTCAGGGAAGATCCTGGTATAATATTCCTTGGAGCAGCTTATCCTCCTCCCTAAGGATAAAGAATGAATATATCTGCCCATTTCAGTTTCTCTCAGTTCCTCAGTCTTAAATTAACATCTTTGCATTTCCACAGCAAATTGCAATCTGTTTTTAAAAAAATCCTCATGGAAATTCCTCAGTTTTTTGAGTGCAAAATTCTCTCCAAAAACCCCCATATTTTTAAAAGGTATGCAATTTTGACTATTGGGCACTTTTTTTTTTGTAAGCAATTTCCTATAATGCAATGGATTTTTCTACATTATCTTTGCTAACGTATGTATTTTTGTGCCTAACACAGGGTTCCCATATTGTGTTTGCGGATTACCAGTGGCCCATAAGCTTCATTCAGGTGGTCTGTGCCATCTCCGCAAAGGACACTTGCACTCTGAAGTCTATCAAATTCTATGGAATCTAAAGTCCAGTACAATCAAATACAGTATAACAAATAAAAGCAGCAACAAAAATGCATTTCAAAATCATGCAGCGTCTAGCACAGCGCATTGCAATTTCTACAGCAGGCAGGGGAAAAAAATCATCAAGTGGTCTGCCAAGACCCTCAACAATTCATGTGGGAGGTGGAAAATTGGAGAAGCACTAACATATGCATTTTTGCACACCTTCTCGGTTTGGAGATCTACACTGCAAAATCTGGAGAGGTGCAAATTCCAAAAGATAATTAATTGTGCATTGCTTGAGAAGCGTGGATTAGGAAGTTTCTCATTAGAATGCAAAAAAATCTGAATTTCTACCTCATCCCATCCCTTGAGGGACCAGAAAAGTGCTATGAGAGGCTGCCCTGGAAGAAACTCGTCCTTTGAGTGCTTTTCCTGCAGTTTTTGGGAGGGGGATTCCCCCCATCTCACCACAATGGACCATCTTCTGTCAGTTCCTGTGTAGGAGGCTCAGACAGGAGATGCCAAGAGCGTGCACGTTGTGTCTCCTCCACTGCCTCTCTTCTGAATCTACTGTGAGATATCGTAATTGAAGGCGAGTGTAGGGGAAACTTGAGGGCTGCGCAGCACTTTCACTCATCCACGCAGCATGGAATCTGTGACTTATCACTATAGAAAAAGGTTGCTCACTGACTTTCCACGTTTCGGCATGAGCAGCAAAGAGTTTAAGAAATGCATCCAGCATCCAGGAAGGAAAATGTGGTTGTAGACTATAAAACTATATACCTGCCTAGATTATAAGGGTGAAATCAGGACCATAAACCTGATTTAGTCCTGTGGAGACTCCTGTGACAACTCAAGTCATTATGCCGCCTGAAGCTGAGCCCCAGAAGTACCGCCTCCCTTCTGTTAGGACCGGCACTTCAAAAATTCAAATTCCTGCCTTTCCCCATCTCTCTATCATGGTCCTGCCTGAAGCAGATTTCTCTATTTTGCCACTTGGTCGAGATGCTGGATTCTCTGCATATAGCAGCCTCTTTTCCACTGTTCTTCCAGCTCTTTCAGCTCTTAATCCCAGCTCAGTGCAGACTACTTAGCAGACAAAGTGTTTGATTTAGAGCCAGGTTCAAATCCCGCCTCGGCAAGTCACTAACCTACCTCACAGGGCTGCTGTGAAGATAAAATAGATGCCCGACAGAACTCCTTCGAGGGATGACAGGTGGACGATACAACAAACACACTTTAACAAATCACCTCTCATTTCCGCAGCCGCCACCCCCCTTCCCCGCAACCATTTCCACCCGATACTTTGCAGTTTTGCTCTATCCCAAATGACCAATGCCCCACCATCCCGCTCCCCTCTACCTTTTGCTTAGGAAGAAGGCTTCACGCAACGCTGGTCCCACCTGTTGAGGGAAGGTTCTTTTGGGGCAGGCCTCAGCTTTGCCTTCGCCTCACCAATATTCTGTTTGGCCAGGCAGGAAGGAGTGAATGAAACCAAGAAGGAGGTGGCGGTGGAGAAATACTGAAAAAGAAGAAGCGACCGTTAAATGCACAGAGAGAGAGGAAGTGGTGTAGTCAGCTTGGCAATGCATCGCGGGTGTGAGAGGGGCCTGCCCACGTTGGGACATGTGGGGAGACCGAGAGGCTCTTGGAACCAAGGACCACCAAAGTTATCCACCCTCCCACACAAAATGCTAGGGCGGCCGACGTGAAGAAAGGGTGCCTCAGAGCTCATGCAGAGTGCACTTGCCTCACCAGTAAGCAAGCACAATCAGCCCCTGCTCAGCTCCGCTTCCTGCATCCACAGCGGAGGAAGGCACAACCACAGAACGGCCGAGGAAAATGAGATTGATGGGCTGCCAGGAAAGCAGACTGGCCGTGCAAGTGGATGGTGGTTTTCATCCTGCTCAGACTGGGGCAGTAACGTCCCTTTTTATTCATCTAGATATCAGTATGGCAAGCACAGGCTCCCTGAAGCTGGCAAGCGCTTATCTTCTTTTGCACATCTTCCCCTTACTGCTGTGGGACTGGGTGGGGTATGTGTCTGGGTGTGTGACTTCTCTAGTCTTCCTCTAGAACATCCAGACTTGAGAATATCTCGGTGGTTCCACTTCCACCATCCGCAATGGAGAGGGTCAGTGTGGTGCAGTGGTTAGAGCATCAGACTAGCTGATGGGAGTTGGAGTTCAACAGCATTGGGAGAAGCACAGCATCCCCATCCCCGATTTAAATGGTTGGCCCAAGGGCTAGAGGCCCATTTCAAGCAGCAAAACGTTTTTGTTACCTCCAGTCTCTGTACCCACCAGTGTTGTGGCAGATGTATGCAAATCTTGTGTGTTGTGCATGTAGGACTACCAGACTAACCTTGTCTTCTAAGAAGGAAAGTGCATTGCACTCTAGGGAGTTTACTCCCAGGTAAGTGGAATTAAGTTTGTAATTAGACTGGGTCCCTTTCTGGCCTGCCCCATGTCTGCAGCCTGGTTCTGGTTTGTCTAATACAGTGGTACCTTGGTTTTCGAACAGCTTAGTTAAAGAAGAACTTGGAACCCAAACACTGCAAAACCGGAAGTAGGTGTTCTGGTTTCCGAACTTTTTTTTGGGAAGCCAAATGTGCTCCGTTTTGTGTCCCCCTGTGTGTTTCCTGTTGCGCTGCTACTTTGCGTCCCCCCCAATTGTAATTCAAGCCTTCCATTTCCGACTGCAGTGTTCTAAGGTGATATTTGGAGCTTATATTTGGTGCTTTTGTTTTTGCTATTTATTTTGCGTTTTTTTATTTGAGGCTTTTTCAGTTAATTTGTTTTTGTGACTGTGTGAATCCCAGTTCAGCTATTGATTGATTGTGTGACTGTGGAAATGGATAAAAGCCTCCCATCCAAACAATGACTATTATCGGTGCAGGTAAGAAAGAATTTTTTTTAAAAAAATTATCATCTACAATACTGTTTTATTTATTTTATAGTACAGCTGAGCAAACCAGGAAGTACAACATGTCAAAATCCTTTGAACAGTAAATGCAATCCCATGATTACACAGCAAACTCAGATGATCAGGAAAACCCTTCCCCAATATCCTCTACACTCCCCAAATAATATTTATTCATTTGATTGATCATAAAATATTTATATATTTGTATTTACTATCTATATATTCCACTGTTCATTTAAAAAAATCAGTCATTTTCAACAATCATATAAATAATCACACACATATCAGAAATCAGCCAACTATTTTGAAAAGATGCATTCTTCATTGCCTGCATAAGCCTGACTGAATAGAAAAGTTTTTGGTGGGCTTTCAAAAGCTGAAACAAAAGGTGCCTACTGAATCTCTGTTGACAGAGTATTCCCAGGACTGAGCTGATGACACTAAAGACTTGGTTTCTTCCCAAGCGACTCTTGGGAAGACAATATAAAGACAATATAAATAGATGCTTCACTTTCAGAAGTAGAATTCAGGGCTATTTTAAAATAAGCACACACTGAGCCCCTGGCCCACCTCGCCTAGTCTTGTACCCTTTGTGCAGTATGGGCTCTCCAGGGTCTTCAACACTGGGCCACCATTATGCGTTTGAGCTGGAAGAGGGAGCTGAACCTTGGAAAGGCCATAGCTCAGTGGCAGAGCAAACTCTGCTTTCCCAGTTCAATTCCCAGCATCTCCTGGCTCGGAAGCACCCCTGGTGGAAACCCTAGACAAACCACTATGTTCCCCCATAGGACTCCCTGCTCAGCTACCCCTGAATTGTGGCCCAAAACATGGAGATTCAAGGAATTGGACCCAGGGCCTTGTGCGCCCAGCCCCTGAACAAACACCCCACCCCTAGTGGCATAGCAAGAAAACTGCTAGCACATTTGCAAAGCTAAGCAGGGCCCAGTATGGTTTCAAATTGGATGGGAGACAGCGTGTTGAGATGCCTGCATCGCAGCGGGTCAGACTACATGGCCCACGGGGTCCCTTCCAATGCTACAATCTTATGATGAACTGCCACGGCACTTGGGCTTCATGGTGGACCCTGTCAGCGTGGTGTGTTGGGAAGGCAAATTTAAGCCTTTTCTCCCCTGTTGCAGTCTCGAAAAAAAATGCCCCTCCCCATGGTTGATTCCAAATGAGATGTCCGGCTCATTTGGGGCCTCAGCAGGGGTGGCAGAGCAAAAGGCTTCTCCGGGCACCGAGATAAGCGCAAAGGGAAGCTTTTCACCTGCTCAGTTGTGGCATGGCAGCGTTTTGTTTCAGGCTGCAGGGCACGAAGAAACGAAAGTCACAGAAGGGATGCCTGTCTGGGGCAGCCTGATAAGGGCCCATGAACTGCAACGGTTGAACAACAAAAGGAGTCGATAAGGCAAGACCAACACAGGAACGGCTGGGTGGTTAAACTGCAAAGTTAGACGGGTTAATCTAGGTCTTCAAGGATGCGCTGGTGTACATACGAAACTCTTGAGGTGAGAGGAAGGTAATAGAGGAGTAGTACAGTCTCACCACTGTAACACAGTCCGAGAGCTTAAAGGGCTGATCTCAGAGCGATTCTTTCAAAAAACATAGAATTTATTTCACACAAACACACACTATATTTGGGGCTTAGGTGTTTGGAAGCGGAGGAGATGTCCCAGGGCGTATTTTCAGCATTACTACAATCCTACCACATCCCTGAGTGAGCGGGCTTCATGGTTTGGAAGCCCCACGTCAACCAAGGGGGTCAGACGAGGGTCAGAAGCAGACCAGGAGAGAGAGGACCACTGCCATGATGATTCCAAGGCTTGCTGTCAGACCACCAGATCCAGTTGATGGTCGGCAGCCAGCCCCACAGCCCCTGTTACCATGGGTTTGGGTTGAATTCCTCTCATCTGACTTAGCCAGTGCCCTCATTTCTCCTTCTCCCTTAGGCTGTCCTGGTTTTGCGCTTGGTTTTTTGCCAGGTGACCTCTCAGTGGTGCTGATGGTCGCATTCGGAGGCCGTTTTGCAGCTGCAGTCAATTCTTTGGAAAGAGGCTTCAAGGCAGCAGAGGTTTCTCCAGAGGTTTTGTTCTTTCCACTTTCTCCGGACGTCTGAATTGTCTCCGAAGCGGTTGCATTTTGAGACGATTCGTTAGCTGCAACAGTGGGATGAGGCAAAGATTTGTCTGGAGGTTGTATGGTTGCATTCTCCTCACCATTTGTGGCCACGGCCAAAAAGATAAGGAAGCCAAAAGACATGCTGTAGCCCATTATTTGCCTGAGAAGAGATCTTGTTTCCATAGTGTCAGAACTCCAGAAGGCAGCGGAGCAACAAGGAACAGCAACCTGAGGACAAAACATAAAAGAAATATCCAAGAGCTAACTGGGTTGAATTAGCAAAAATGACGACAGCAATTAGAGTGGAATCTAATCAAAATCTCAATCAGGAATGGAAATGTGTAGAATAATACATGACCAAAAGATGCTCCAACAAGAATTTATTGATATGTATAGACTGATTTCACAAAGTTAAGTTAAGCTTATCAGATAGATAAGATTGAATGTTTAATTATTAAGATACAAAATTACAATCTCAATAATAAAGTTACAAAATAATAACAAGGAAGTCACGCAGGGGTGGAGGGAAGACACAGGGCAAGAAATAAGAAATGGATAAATGCTGGTACATAATGAAATATGAAAATATGAATTTACGAATATAAAGTATATGTATCATTATGTAAAGATTTCATATATCATAGAATCATAGAGTTGGAATAGACCACAAGGGCCATCGAGTCCAACCCCCTGCCAAGCAGGAAACACCATCAGAGCACTCCTGACATATGGTTGTCAAGCCTCTGCTTAAAGACCTCCAAAGAAGGAGACTCCACCACACTCCTTGGCAGCAAATTCCACTGTTGAACAGCTCTTACTGTCAGGAAGTTCTTCCTAATGTTTAGGTGGAATCTTCTTTCTTGTAGTTTGGATCCATTGCTCCGTGTCCGCTTCTCTGGAGCAGCAGAAAACAACTTTTCTCCCTCCTCTATATGACATCCTTTTATATATTTGAACATGGCTATCATATCACCCCTTAACCTCCTCTTCTCCAGGCTAAACATGCCCAGCTCCCTTAGCCGTTCCTCATGAGGCATCGTTTCCAGGCCTTTGACCATTTTGGTTGCCCTCCTCTGGACACGTTCCAGTTTGTCAGTGTCCTTCTTGAACTGTGGTGCCCAGAACTGGACACAGTACTCCAGGTGAGGTCTGACCAGAGCAGAATACAGTGGCACTATTACTTCCCTTGATCTAGATGCTATACTCCTATTGATGCAGCCCAGAATTGCATTGGCCTTTTTTAGCTGCCACGTCACACTGTTGGCTCATGTCAAGTTTGTGGTCAACCAAGACTCCTAGATCCTTTTCACATGTACTGCTCTCAAGCCAGGTGTCCCCCATCTTGTATTTGTGCCTCTCATTTTTTTTGCCCAAGTGCAATACTTTACATTTCTCCCTGTTAAAGTTCATCTTGTTTGTTTTGGCCCAGTTCTCTAATCTGTCAAGGTCGTTTTGAAGTGTGATCCTGTCCTCTGGGGTGTTAGCCACCCCTCCCAGTTTGGTGTCATCTGCAAATTTGATCAGGATGCCCTTGAGTCCATCATCCAAGTCGTTGATAAAGATGTTGAATAAGACCGGGCCCAAGACAGAACCCTGTGGCACCCCACTAGTCACTCTTCTCCAGGATGAAGAGGAACCATTGATATATGTATTGCAACATTAATAATAAATAAATAAATGGGGGGAAAGAAATATCCAAGGGCATGCATTGAGAAGAGAGGGCAGGCAGCAGCTACCTCAACTCATAGGCTTTTAAATCAGAGAAGTACAAGTTTGAAAGGGTAGTTGGCGTTTGGTTCATTGGTTTGGAAAACGCAAATCTGATGCGTTTGAATTTCTACCTAATTTGTTATGAATGAATTCCTCTCCATCTCTACAGTTCAACCCCATCACCATGTGTTTTTCCAGTTGCAAGGGTTTCGTTATGGCCTCTGCCCGTGTGACAGAGTTTGGGTGGAGATGAGCTTTCCCTTTCATGCATCAACAAGGATGGCGATGCCTGTCTCCACTGGCTTCCAGAGAGATCACTTGCCCCACGTAGCAACTGACCGAGGATCTGGACTGAGGATTTCTACAGCGCTTGGGGACACGGCCCTATTTAGGTGGTATCAGGTGGTCTGAGGGCTTGATTCCCTGCCATAACCTGGTTGGGAATGCAGGGAAGCAGCTGCACCAGGTGCCCAGAGGGATGGAATTTTTAAAATACATTTAATTAGCATTCGCAACCCGCAGCTCAACATATTAAAAGGGTGCAGGTGGTGAATCCTAGAATGTGGCCAGGCGTGCAGAATCCGGCTGAGACGCTGGACTTGCCATGTTTCAACAGGCCTTCCTCATCATGTGGCAATCTTATCGTTTCTAGACAGCTGTCAGCTCTCCATTTTCAACTCACGGCTGGCGCCGCCACCAGGCAAGGCCGGGCATCTGTCATTTCCGTGGCCCAGAAAGCAAACAAAAGATGGCATAGATTTATGAGGATTTTGCATGTGTAAATGTATATGTATAGTTAGTATATGTATAGCTGCAAATTAAAACTAACATTGACTGTCGGTGACCTGTCTATCTCCTTGGCCAATTGTTCATATTATATATTAATATATTAGTTATATCCTGCCCATCTGGCTGGGTTTGCCCAGCCACTTTGGGTGGCTCCCAACAGAATATTAGTAATAATAAAGCAATGGCAACTGTTGGTAGGCAACTGCCAGGCACCTCCTGCAATGTACGCAGCATCATTTAAATATCTGGCAGTTGGCCCCTTTAAGATAGTGTTTCCATACATAGCCAGGCCCTTGCTGAAATTTCTGAAATGTCTGGGGAAATCCTGACCCATGTCAGAAGTGTATATTTTGGCGAATTTCCTTAAAAATAGCTCTTAATTTTTTTTATAAAAAAGCTCAACCAATTTTGTGTCCGGATTTTCACTTTTTAAAATGCGGCAACCCTACTTTAACCCGACTTTAACAAGTGATTCAGAGGGCTGGCCTTGCTGGAGAGCTTACTACTACGCTTTGCAGGCTCCCAGGCCTCGTAAAGGATAAAGTTCTGTTCTACTATTAATTCGGTTTGTCACGAGTTTTTTTCCGTAAACAGCAGAATGCATCTCTTTATGACCTAATACTATTATCAGTATTATTATTCTATATCCCACGTTTTCTACAAGCTCAAGGTGGTGTGCATGGTTTCCCGCCTCGTCATTTAATCCCCACAACATCCCTGTTAGGTAGGTTAGGCTAAGAGGCAATGACCGGCCCCCACAGGTGAAAACAGGAGCCTATTTCAGCATGAGGGCAGCTGGGGAGCAGCGGGGAGAGGAAGACTGGATAACTTTATTAGCCCCATTAGATTTATCTGCGGCTGAAACATCCTTTCTGGCAGAGCTTCTGTGCGCTTGGTTGCTGTGGGTGCAAGCTCCCCTCCTCTGGCATGAAGGGCAGCATACTACACCTGTTGAATTTCTACCTGCCACTCAGCTGCTAAATTGCAGAAGACCCTTGCCAGAGCTCCACAGGCTGTCCTGTGGGGAACGCAGCGCTGGCCTGAGACTTTTTGCTGCTTGAAGCCGAGTCCAAATTGTGGGCATGCACACACATAAACACAGCTAAAAATTCAAATTCAAATTAAAAATTCAAATTCCTGCCTTCCTCTATCACAGGAAAGAAAAAGAAGAGATGAAAAGGTGGAACTCGGAATGGAGCAAAGCCTTACCCACTGAAAAACGCCATTCCCAACCCTGTTTCCGCCCCCACCCTTTTGAAAAGCAAAAACCATCAGGGAAGGGCAGCCCTGGCAGAGACCGAGAGGGTGCATTGGGAGCGAGTGGGGTGGCTTCTTCGCCATACCTGCCAATGGTCTTGTCGAGCAGTTGCGTCCAGACTAGGCTAGCAAGGTCCCTCTCTGAGCATTTGCACATCTGAAGGCGACAAACATTTGTTGACGTCCTCGGTTGCTTATCTCCCCTTGCCTGCCTCCTTATCAGCGCTGGACTGCGGGTGGTGGGAGGGCTTTATCCAGGCCCTCCTCCCGGCATCTTAACATCCAGACCAGAGAATGGTGCCACAATTATTCGGCAGCCGCTATGGAGAGGGCATGGTGCTGGAGGAGACTCTTGAGAGTCCCATGGACTGGAAGAATTTCAAACCTCTCCATTCTTAAGGAAATCAGCCCCGAGTGCTCACTGGAAGGACAGATCCTGAAGCTGAGGCTCCAATACTTTGGCCACCTCATGAGAAGAGAAGACTCCCTGGAAAAGACCATGATGTTGGGAAAGATGGAGGGCACAAGGAGAAGGGGACGACAGAGGACGAGATGGTTGGACAGTGTTCGCGAAGCTACTAACATGAGTCTTGACTAAACTGTGGGAGGCAGTGGAAGACAGGAGTGCCTGGCGTGCTCTGGTCCATGGGGTCACGAAGAGTTGGACATGACTAAACGTCTAAACAACAACAATGGAGAGGGCATTCTCAGGGGTGGTCCCATAGCTAGCTGCCTCCCAGCCCAACAACTCAAGGAGAAGCATGGGCTCCCCGGCCCTGTCCGAGATAGTTGCTGCATGTACTTGGGCTCTGCTTCAGGCAGCAAAATGCCTTGGGCCCTGTCTTTGTCACCTGCTCTCTCTCTGTCCCCATCACTGTGGTTGTGGCTAAGATCTTTGTATGCTCTGGTCCATGGGGTCATGAAGAGTCGGACACGACTAAACAACAATAAACAGTTGTGTGTTGTGTATGATGGCACTAGACTAACCTTCATAGAGTTTTTCTCTCTGAGTGAATCTGGCAGTAGCTAGTGTAGGTGCCTTTCCTTGCATCAATGGGCTGACTGTTGGAGGAGCATTTAGTGGGCCCATCACCAAAGGCATTTGGCAATACGCAACCCAGCAGCCATTGTGCGACTGGCACCCAAGGAGACTTTCTCAAAATTCCACTGGCCCCCCAAATGTTGGCAACTTACATTGTTCAATAGCTATTTTCCCCCACCCGCCAAAGCCACTGGTTGCCCAGAAAATTGATATGACACATACATTATTATTCGACGTAGTAGTAGTATCTTTTTCTAGAACAAAATGGTGCATGTTCCTAAATAAATAGTATTAGCATCAAGGGCAGCAGGTCCAAACCCCGTTTTACCTGTACTTGTGACTGGTGCTGTGATTCAAATGAGTTTTAAAATGCAAAACATATTCAATAACAGAATGCAATTCCTTATTCTAAAATCAGTTTTAAAAACCAACCGTCTAAACCAGTTAAAACTTATTTAAAAACTCTGAAAAACTTCTTTGAAAGAGTAAGCAGTGTGGGCAGGGATTATTGGTGGGATTGTCCCTGTTTTCCTGTGACATTAGCAACCGTCTAAAAAATGGTGAGATTTAGCAGAAATTTATCCAGGTATGGGGAAAGTGTGAAGGGAAGATTTTCTCCTGCTCAATTTTGGCATGTTAGCCTGTCCTTAAATGTTGTGGGGCAAGAAAAACAAAAGAAGCACGAGGAGGCGAGGTCTTTGACAACCTGAGAATGGCCTGAGTACAGCAGGAGCTGAGATAAACATAGAAGACACCACAGGACCAACCACAGGAAAGGCTGGGCATGAGAACTGCAAAGGTTTTGCGAGATAATCTGCATCTAGTGTGTTTCGAAGGATGTGATGGTGCGTTTATATCTGAAAAGCCTGCTTCTTAATATAAGCAAGTAGATAGTTGAGAAAAGATGCAGGTAATCTAGGGTAAGATCAGGCCCTCTAGCCCAGCCAAATATCTTGAGGGCCAGTGCTCGGTGCGGCTGCTTCCAGAACATATAGAGGCCACATTCGCATGAGACATTGAAATTTCTGTGGTACCACTTTAAACTGTCATGGCTTCTCCCAGAGAATCCTGGGAGCTGTAGTTTGATAAGGCTGCTAAGTGTTGTTAAGAGACCCCCATTCCCCTCCCAGAGTTACAGTCCCCAGAGTTCCCTGTGAAAGGGATCATCTGTTAAATCGCTCTAGGGATTTTAGTCCTGTGAGGGAAACAGAGCTCTCCTAACAACTCTCAGCAGCATCCTGAACAAACTACAGCTCCCAAGATGCTTCGGGGGAAGAAGCCATGATGACTGTTTAAAGTGGCGTCATAGTGCTTTCAGTGTGAATGTGGCCAGAATGTGCTTCTTATACACATACAACCCCTTGCTCTGTTGGGGGTTGGTGTGCGTGTGGAAGTCAAGGTGCCCCAGGGGGCATATTTTCAGGTCATAAGGCAATCCTCACTGATCTGGCGTCATGATTTCAGCCACCCACCCCACTTGTACAGGCAAGAGAGGACAGTGGGCCCATTTTGCCAGTGAGGGTCAGAGGGGGTGAGAGCAGCAGTGCAGCTACATAATTTTAGTCCATGTGGACGGCCTCATTTGTGAAGCACACAATTATCATTTATTTTAAATCCCTCCTGCAATCCACTCACTCAAGGATGGCTTTGGATCAGAAAAATCCAGATGCAAAGCAGCCCTAACCTCCCATTAGTCAGTTCAAACAGGCAGCTTCCCACGGCTTCTTTTCTTAAAAAACAAAAACTAAGATGGAGGCATCTAACTGGGCCCTAGTCAGGAGGCCAAGCATGTAGAAGGCCCTTGTCAGTTTCACATCTGAGGTAAAGTCATTATGCCTGCGTAGAGTGAAGGGCCTTCCCCCACATAGTCACTTTCAATTCCCCTGCCAGATGGGGCTCCCTTCCTCACTGGAGTGAGCATCATCTATGCTTTACACCTACTTCTATGTTCCTGACAGGTTACAGCAGAAGAAAAAAAGAAAGATGCTAAGTGTGTGCGGTTATCAGTCATGAGTACAGGTATTAACTGGAACTTGCGTCTGCTGGCATATTTGTTTGAGAACAAGCACAGTTCAGAGCAGCGAACCATGTTAAAACCGTCGTCTCTTTTAATCGTGGTATTTAAAAGTCTGAGCAGTGCAACAAATAAAACTTCCAAATCAAATACAGCTCTGATATTTTAAAAGTCCTAAAACATCTTATGAAAAGCCTCCCGCATAGCTGCCAACTCCCTGGGGCCTTGAGCACCCACAAACTCCCCACGAAGGGGCTGGGCACTCACAAATTTCAGTGCCAGGGCTATGCACGCTGCATGGCACCCACGAACCTGGGCACTCATGGGCCAAGCTGGCACCCTTGGCCTCAAGGTAAATAAAAAGCTGGACATAATGTTACACACACCCCCTATCTCCAAGTGGTGAGAGATTCCAGGGGTTGTAAGCGCTGTGTTTCTTTTTGAACAATGAGGCACAGCAGAGACTGTGGTGTCTTTATGGTGCATGGTTTATATACACATCTACGCAACCAGAGTCTAGATGGGGCGGCTCAGAGCATCATTTTCCAAGAGGTTTCTGTTCTTCTCGCAGATGCAGCCTTGCAGCCCAGCGACAAAAAGTCACGTCCTTCTGACCCCCAACTTCTGTCAGCTTGCATCACGATGCTCCTCCCAAGCTTTCAAGCTTTCATTGCCTCTGCCTTTTCTAACACCGGCCAAGGCCCCACTCCTTTGATGTGCAAATGGCTCATTCTCCCCAGGAAATTAGGCTGACTCTAGTCTAGAACCTTTCAACACATACTGATTTCCTAGGATTAAGGAGAACCTAATGCACAGGACACAGGTGGCGCTGTGGGTTAAACCACAGAGCCTAGGACTTGCCGATCAGGTCGGCGGTTCAAATCCCCGCGATAGGGTGAGCTCCCGTTGCTCGGTCCCTGCTCCTGCCAACCTAGCAGTTCGAAAGCACATCAAAGTGCAAGTAGATAAATAGGTACCACTCCGGCGAGAAGGTAAACGGTGTCTCCATGCGCTGCTCTGGTTCGCCAGAAGCGGCTTAGTCATGCTGGCCACATGACCCAGAAGCTGTATGCCGGCTCCCTAGGACAAAAAAGCGAGATGAGCGCCGCAACCCCAGAGTCGGCCACAACTGGACCTAATGGTCAGGGGTCCCTTTACCTTTACCTAATGCACAGTTTAGGAAGTTTGTGCAGCAATAATTAGGTTCCACACATGCTAATTAAATGATTAAAAGCAGCGAGTGCAGAGGTCAAATACACAAACGGATCTGCCTTAAACACACAAGTCTGGCTTTTTCCTGGTTCTAACACACAAGCTCTAATTAAATTCCAACGTTTGCTGAACCCAGACATTTCGCACCCTATATCAATAAGGAGAGCCCGCTGGATCAGGCCAACAGCCCATCTAGTCCAGCATCCTGTTCTCACAGTGGTCAACCAGAAGCAGGGCTGGAGCGCTCTCCCTGCAGTTTCTGGCAAGGGGTATTCCGAAGTGTTGCCGCTTCCCATTGTGGAAAGAGAGCCGAGCCGTCACCTGCCATCAACGAGGCTTCTTGAGAACATCTCACAACGTCAGGGTGTTGGGTGGCGATGACAGAAAAAGGCTTTTTTGCGTCACTTCAAAAAGCAGTAACAAAACCTTCTGAGAATGACGGGATAAAAACCCAGCAGCCCATCACTGAGTTATTTTAAATTATTTATTATTTTCTATACAAACTTAAAATGCTGCCTACTGTAATACAATATAAAACAAGCCGCAGGTCAACCATATTTTTTTTAAATCAGCATATTAGCATAAACTGCCAAGAGGACAAGAACCATTACAAAACATCCACCATTTTGCTTCGTTGCCACATTCACTCTTGCGCATGTCAGACGCACAGTTGCAGTTTTTGAAAGCCTGCTTTCATCCTGCATCAGCAGCGGGTTGGTCTAGTTGAGCTCTGAAGCCCACTGTGACCGTACGATCTTCCTGTTTGGGCAGTTTAATGTGCGGGGAGGAAGTCCTTAAGGGCTGGTCACTTGTAGGAAACCAGAGGGCCCCAACCCTTTAAGCCGAAATGGCATATTTTGCATGGGAGATGTATGAAATGAGTCATGTTGGAAAGCTTTAAAAATGGGTATTTGATGAAGCAAAACGTCTGTGGGTTTTCTCATTACTTATTTTTTTAAAAAAACAACTTTCCATTTTTGCCTCCTTCTCCAGCACACTGAGACGTTAACTCCTTGGTCCCAGAATTCTCCTTCCCGGTGTCCTTTAATCATAGCCTATGTTTACACCAACCAGCAGGGTATTAAAAACCCCCCCAGATGTTTTCTTGCCCATTTCCCACACACTCCCACCCAAGCCCTAACACCCCAAGAGTGAAATTTTCCATCTCACACCCCACAGTGACCTTTGAGCTTTCTTGGATTCAGGAAGGAGTGGAGTGGGCAGGGAAGGTCTTGGGCGCCTTAAGTGAAACCAGGCACGGAATACTCTAGGTACCCCGACCGCTGTGCTGGAAAAAGCTCTCTAGGTCCTGCAGGGTGACGCGTGGCTGGATCCGCCAGGTGGGTTCGCCGTCATCCCAGAAAGGGGCAGAGCTGCTTGGGCTCTGCGTCTCCATCTGGGTATCTTCGGGGGAATCGCAGCTCCCTTGCTCCAGAAACCAGTCGTTTGAGCGCTGGATCCAAAGGGGCACCGTTTCTGACGGCCTAGATAGGAGATCTGGCTCCCTGCGGCTCCTGGAAGGCTCGATCCACAGCGTCCCGCCTTGCCTCCAGACAGACGGCAGCCCCCTTCTTTCTGAGGGCAGGGACCCACGGAAGACCCGGTCGCAGAGGATGGCCGAGATCACGATGAAAAGGCCGGCAACGAAGGCGATGCCTGTCATGATCAGCAGGCAGCTGCCACACTCGCTGAGTGGGGAGGCCACAGAGGAAGGAGGCATCTGGGCTCCCGTCGAGGGGGCCGGCGTTGACAACGTAGCAGGGGGTGGACCACTGCGATGGAGCCACATCAAAGCCGCATCCAGAATCAGAATGGGCGCGTCAGGTAGAAGCCAAACTGTGAAGAAAGAGGGAGGAGTCAAATCATCGATTTGTATCAGGGCGGTCGTACTGGGCTTTATTTTTGATGTAATCGAGGGATGTGGGTGGAGCGGTATTAAAAAATAAAAATAAAACCTCAGCCCTTTTTTTAAAAAAGAAAAGAAAAATACAGTGGTACTTCAGGTTAAGAACTTAATTCGTTCCAGAGGTCCGTTCTTAACCTGAAATGGTTCTTAAGCTGAGGTACCACTTTAGCTAATGGGGCCTCCCGCTGCCGCTGCTGTGCGATTTCTTTTTTCATCCTGAAGCAAAGTTCTTAACCCGAGGTACTATTTCTGGGTTAGCGGAGTCTGTAACCTGAAGTGTCTGTAACCGAGGTACCACTGTAGTTGTTATTCTGCAGCTACAAGTCCCAAAGCTCAACCTGCTTGTGAAGTCCTGCTCAGTCCCATTCCAGTTTTGAGACCCTCCCAGGATGGCTCAGTTGGTAGAGCAACGAGACTCTTCACCTCAGAGTAGTAGGTTTGAGGCCCAAGTTGGGCAAAAGATGACAGGGGCAGTTGGACTAGATGTCCCGTGTGGCCCTTCCACCTCTACAATTCTAGGATTCTCACCCCCTGCTTAACTTTGCAGCCATAAAGATGTGATAATTTTCATTTTGTACCCTGCCCATCTGACTGAGGAGAGTAGATGCTCTGCCACTCTCCCACAGCAGGGCTGGGGAGTTTGTGGTCTTCCCATCAGCCCCAGCCAGCATGCCCAATGGTTAGGGGCGATGGGAGCCGAGGTGCAGCAAGGCATGGAGGGGCCGGGATTCCCCACCCCTGCACGGGCCTCTTCCTCTGGGTGTTTTCCACATTGGGACATTAAGAGGAAACTGTCTCCCACCTACTAATGGCTGAGTCGGGGAAGTGGGGAAGTGGACAGCAATGGGAAGACCAAAAAAATAGAAAACCTCACCTGATTAAGTGGCGGATTCCTTGGTTTGCGGACCCCCAAGTGTGCAGTTCTGCCTTAGAGGAACTTCCCCGACAAAGCAAAGGTTGCCTCCACTTTGACAACAGTGGCAGAAAAGGATGTGGTCGAGGCGTCCTGATCGCATCATTTCCTGAGCACGCCCTGCGAGGCCGGGAGCCCACAGATGGGCACTTCCTGCTTCCAATCTCGCTGGGGCAGGCGCACACCCCCAAACCGCCCCTCAAAAGCAACCTGCCGCCCCAGCAGAACTGGAAGAGGGATCCAGATGTGCAACAGAGTTGCCAGGAAAAGTGCATTTACATTCAAAGGGTCAAATAATAATAGTAATAATAATAGGAAGAGAAATTAAAAAATTCACAGGAGAAAAATACACAGCATAAATTTAATTCAGCTACCATGGAGCACAATTAAATTAGGAGGGAAAAAAATTATTACAGCCAAGACAGTTCAAGTTTCCAGGTTGTTGGTTGTGTTTTTTGTGGGGTTTTTTTTTTCATTTTCTTTTTCAGGGACAAAGGAAAAATGCACACACGCACACACACATTCTGGATTTGAGTCTCTAAAAACCGACAGGGTCATAAATTAATAAATGAAACTGAAAAAAATTAAGAATAAAAAAACATCCAACAGCCGCCCTCCCCTGCAAAAAAAAAAGCCAGGAAAACAAAATACAGATTAACAACAAAAGTATGAAAGTTCAACACCCCCACCCCCGGCTAAAAATAACAAACACACAAACCACACACACACTAGGAGAAAAGAGGTAGATTTTCGAGCGGGTGTGGAAATAAGGAAGGAATAAGTGTCCTTGAGGAGTGCTAAGAAGAAGTGGGGTGCTTTTCTGGCTGCAGAGCGGGGTGGTGGGAGAAGGAAACTTCCAGAGATTCTGTTGACAGGATGAAGGCCTAACTAAACTATACAGTAAACCCCAGCAGTGATTTTTTTTCAAAGGCCACGTTGGGAGATGCCAAAATGGAGCCAGGTGGTACCTCAGGTGTTTTCTTTCTGGGGTTGGTGGTGGGACAACTGGAGCAAGCAGACAAGGAAAAGGTCGGGCCCTCTCTGCCACACACACTTCAAATCCCTGCCCCATGCTTTCATTGTAACTTTACTTAAAAACCTATTGGTGTTCCATCACTGATCATATTTACTTAGGCCCAGAGTCCCCTCTTCTGACTGTAAGAAGTGGCAGAATATTCAGTGTGAACTGTTAAGAGAACAATATGGTTGATAAAGGCTGTATGGATCCCAGCTAGGAAATTGGGTTTCTCCCCCCCTCTACCCCCCCTCACCTGTGGTTCTTTTGGGACAGAGCATTTAGGGGAACTAATAAAACATGCCACTTATTTATGGGACGGTGCCTTGCAGATAGGAGTGAAGACGCAGCCAGGAAGAAGACCCTTCGCTGATCCTAAAGAGGATTTTTTTTGAAGGAGTGGGGGAACAGCAGGGTTTGGTGCAGAATGGGCGGAACATACTGAGAAAAGCAAACACCCCTTCGCTCCAACAACTGCAAACCCTCTAGGGGTAGCAATACAAAACCCTAATAATACAGGGACAGAGAGGGAAGGGTAACTCAGCCAGGAGATGGACAAATACAGGCGTGTCGGGGAACAGTGCAGATTTGGGGGTGAGTTTGCGGACAGGGAGAGTTGCACAAGGAGAATACCTACAACCTAAAGGGTTTTCCAGTGCAGAACAATAAAGGTGGAGGGAAAAAGACATCAATTGATGCAAAAAACAATCCCTTCCCAACCCTCCCACCCAGCCCAAATAATATTAATATTCATAATAATAAAAAAAAGACACAGACGTTTTCCCCCCACCCCAAATGTTTGTCCATGAGTCAAAATATTCAAGAGTGCAGGATTAAGAAGAGTGGTTGTTTATTCTTCTTCTTCTTTCTCTCTCTCCATCACCCGATGAAAAGGCTCTCTCATTCTGCCCTTCTCCTTTGCTTTCCCTTTTTCTTCTTCTCCTTTCTTCTCTTTCTCCCCACCGTGTCCACTGGGCGCCTTCATCTCTCCTCCTTTTTAGACACTTTGGAGGAGTGCCACGCCGTGGAGCTGCCGAGTGGAAACAAGAAGAGTTTAAAGACCCTCATTTCCAGGCCAGAAACCCACTCCTAAGGTATACCTGAAGGAGCGTCTCCACCCACTTCGTTCTGCCCGGACACTGAGGTCCAGCACCGAGGGCCTTCTGGCAGTTCCCTCACTGCGAGAAGCCAAGTTACAGGGAACCAGGCAGAGGGCCTTCTCGGTAGTGGTGCCCACCTTGTGGAACGCCCTCCCACCAGATGTCAAAGAGAAAAACAACTACCAGACTTTTAGAAGACATCTGAAGGCAGCCCTGTTTAGGGAAGCTTTTAATGTTTAATAGATTATTGTATTTTAATATTCTGTTGAAAGCCGCCCAGAGTGGTCGGGGAAACCCAGCCAGATGGGCAGGGTATAAGTAATAAATTATTATATCATTATTATTATTAAGGTGGGGGGGGGATTCCAGCTATGCCACTAGGGGGCAGCACCGCACACTCACCGGATGAAGGTTTTGAAGGCAGCCGACTGGGGGTTGATACAGAGCGGGACGCGTTTCCCTCGCTGCTGGTCCAAGATAAATCTATGCACCAGCTCTGGAAAGGGAGAAAGGGGTTCCTGTCAATCCAGTCTTCCCATTTATTCACGTCTCTTTTCCATGCCCAGTTCACCCCCAGCCTCACCACTGCTCTCCCATCCCAGCTCTATTCTTCCCCAGAGTTCAAAAGCAGCTCTTCGTATCTGTAATTTTGCCTTAAAACTTGTTCCTTCCCACCCAGGGCTCCTTTCCCGCCCCAAGGCCTGCCAAACAATCACACTTGGACACAAAACTGACTGCCATGGTGGGCACGTGGAGGTGGCTATTGACGACTGCTTGCAAACTTCCATTAGTCCAAAATAACAGATCGTTTAGGCTGCTCGCTGGGGCCAATCTAAGCCATGGGTAGGCAAACTAAGGCCCAGGAGCTGGATCTTGCCCAATCACCTTCTAAATCCGGCCTGCGAACGGTCTGGGAATCGGCGTGTTTTTACATGAGTAGAATGTGTCTTTTTATTTAAAATGCACCTCTGGGTTATTTGTGGGGCATAGGAATTCATTCATCCCCCCCCATATAGTCCAGCCCCCACAAGGTCTGAGGGACAGTGGGCTGCCCCCTGCTGAAAATGTTTGCTGACCCCTAATCTAAAGAAAGCCATTTTGCCAGCTCTCCACTTAGCCTTGCAGGCCACAGGCCTGTTTCCGAGCTCAGTTCAGTTCAGTGTGCTGGTGTCTGGCCTTTTATTTAGTTGCTTTTATATCCCACCTGTCACGGCACTGGCAGGCAAGAATGCCCCTGTGGTGCTCTGGTGTTTTTATTACCTTTTGCTGTTTCAACAACCTTCTTGCTGTGTGTTTTCCCCCACACAGACGCACATAGGAAACCACAGGTTGAGCAAGCCTGCAGGGCGGGTGACAGACGTGGGTCAAAGTTGGCCAACGCAACCGATGACTCATGGTGCAGCCCGTGCTTCTCCAGCCTGGAGCCCTCCAAAAGTCTGGGGCTGCAGCCATTGGCCAACAGGGCGGGGCACTGCCCAAGAACAGCGGGGGCTCAGGCGGGCCCCTCACTGCCCTGTTGCTCATCACTGAGGCCCCAGACTGCTGTTAAAGCGATTGGCAGCCATGGGAGTGAAGCTCAGCTTCTGCCTGGGGGAGTCACCTGCCATCTTAATTTACCCAGAATGCAATGCTCCTCGGCCGATGCAGATTCCGACCCAGGCCAGTGAACGGAGAGAAAAGGGACTGAGGGGGCTGGGAAAAAGCACCCCATTACACCCTATAGAAAGATGGCTGATCCAACTACAGTGGTACCTCAGGTTACATACGCTTCAGGTTACAGACTCCGCTAACCCAGAAATAGTGCTTCAGGTTAAGAACTTTGCTTCAGGATAAGTACAGAAATCGGGCTCCGGCGGCGCGGCAGCAGCAGGAGGACCCATTAGCTAAAATGGTAGCGCAGGTTAAGAACAGTTTCAGGTTAAGAACGGACCTCCGGAACAAATTAAGTACTTAACCCGAGGTACCAGTGTATGTGGCTGGGGGGGGGGAGGTCAGGGCACGGTGCTGAGGACCCCCTGAAGTCTGGTGCTGGCCCTGCCCCTCATTTAAAACCACTGGAGATGCAGGCTGGGGCTGAGGGCGCTGGGGTAGGGAAGGCTGGCCTAATCCTGCCTGCTCCTAGAGCCAGCAAACGCTCCTTCTCCTGATCTTCAGAGCCCCCCCCCCCGTGGCCTACTCCCCCCTTCTCTCCCTCAGTTCAATCATGGCTCCTCCACCTCCTTATCCCCCTTCCAGGGCCTGAGGGTCTCCTGCTCCCGCATTCCCCCTTGCGAGTAATGTAGGAATCGCTCTTCTCCTTTGCTCCCTCTGGCTCAGCACTGCCCACACTGGCTGGCAGCAGCTCTCCAGGGTTTCAGGCAAGGAGACTCTCCCAGCCCTGTCCTGGGAGATGCCCAGGATTGAACCAGGCAACTTCTGTACACGGAACATGTGCTCTAACCTCTGAGCTACAACCCTCTGCTGCCCTGGCATGCTTAGAACGGCCTCCCGGGTCAGCGCCACGGTGCCCCTCCCTTCCTCCTCCTCAAAAACGACATTTTCCACAACCCGTTTGGCGGCACATGACCCCGAGTTCCCAGACCCCTCCTGTGACTCAGCCGGTAACTCAGCCCAACAGAAACACACACGCTTCCCCATTTCCTTCCACTTTCCCTGCTATTTATTTCAAACCGTTAACATGCTGCCTTCCTTGTTTGTTTTAAAGCAACTTTTCATTTCTTAAAAACAAAACAACAAAATAAGCTTTGCAACAATTAAAAGACACATTGCGAGTTTCGGAATCTAACGTGGCGGTACGCTGCAAATGTATGGTTGCAAATTCTCCTGTTTTTAAACCGTTGCTGTGCTTTCTTTATAAATACAAAATATTTTAAAGATACGTGTATGCTGCCTTTCTGAACAACAACAACTACAACAACAACAATAATATCCTCCCAAGCAGCTTTTTCCACAAAGACGTATCAGTTGGGTGCTGTGACAGAGGGTGGGTCCCTGTCAGATTCTAGATTATCTCCTCCTTGAACTCAGGACCTGCCCTGCTGATGGGCCTTTGTATATATAATTTAACAAACTGCCTTGTTCATGTTTCCATGCAAGTAAGTCCCGCTGTCTCCAACTGGGCACACCCCTAGCAAGCGAGCCTAACAGTGCAACCTTTCTGGATTATCCAGGAGTCCAAGAGGGGCGCAGGTGGGGCAAACCTTTGGCCCTCCAGATTTTCGAGACCCACAACTGATGGTGGGAATCACGTTTCCTACCCTTGTCTCAGTTTCCAGGCAGTTTTCCTCTGCTCATCTTTCCCCCCTTCTGCTGCTGTTTCAAAACGTAATTATTACAACTTAATTGCATACACTATTGGCATCGGTTGCCTTGGGGATCCTGGTATGGCAAGCCAAGATAGAAATTAAAATAGCCAAGGAGGAACGACCTTTTGTCTTTGTCCATGGAGTTTTCTTGGCAGGGATACTGGAGTGGCTTGCCAGTTCCTGCTCCAGATGGATCACGTTTGGTCAAAACTCTCCACTATGACCTGTCCATCTTGGGTGCCCTGCTTGGCATAGTTCATAGCTTCTCTGAGTTATTCAAGCCCCTTTGCCACGGAAAGGCAGTGATCCATGAAGGGGAAGGTCCTTCCTCCTTGGCTATTCGTATAGTTATAGGCTGTTCGTATAGGTCCATATAGTTAAAGCTATGGTTTTCCCAGTAGTGATGTATGGAAGTGAGAGCTGGACCATAAAGAAGGCTGATCGCCGAAGAATTGATGCTTTTGAATTATGGTGCTGGAGGAGACTCTTGAGAGTCCCATGGACTGCAAGAAGATCAAACCTATCCATTCTGAAGGAAATCAGCCCTGAGTGCTCACTGGAAGGACAGATCCTGAAGCTGAGGCTCCAATACTTTGGCCACCTCATGAGAAGAGAAGACTCCCTGGAAAAGACCTTGATGTTGGGAAAGATGGAGGGCACAAGGAGAAGGGGACGACAGAGGACGAGATGGTTGGACAGTGTTCTCGAAGCTACTAACATGAGTTTGACCAAACTGCGGGAGGCAGTGGAAGACAGGAGGGCCAGTGTGCTCTGGTCCATGGGGTCACAAAGAGTTGGACACGACTAAACGACTAAACAATAACAACAACAAGGAGGAAGGAATAAAGCCAAGGGTGGAACTGCCCGGGTGCTCAGAGTCCCTGGTGAGGAGGGAGCCTGGGGAAGAGGACACTCTACCTTTGACCTGCCAGACGGAGGTGAGGTTCTTCTCGTAGGATCCATCAAACTTCGGGTCGGCCCGGGGCTCAAAGTCACTGGTGTAGACGCGGCCCGAGGACACGGAAAAGCAGCAGGTGCACATGCAGGTGTGGTAGCGGAGCCGGCCCTCATCCAGGTAAGGGTGCGAGAGGGCATCCTTGGCAGAGATCCGTTTGGCCTGCAGGCAGGAGGAGGAGAGTCAAGACAAACATTGAATGTTTTTCACCGCTATTTGAACAGCGGAAGCTGAATATTCAAATGAGAATGAAGCACCTTGCACTTGGAAGAGTTCACACCTGAAAAGCAAAGCTTGGCTCACCACAATTCACTTTAAGCACTGCCTTTGGTCTGCAACAAAACATTTCTGCTCCAAAATTATATTGACTTCTGCTTTAAGGCAGGGCTTCTGTTGAGGGCAGCTCTTTGGGCGATCTGCTCTCGAATGGAATTCAGGTGGAGTATCAAAATCAGATAATCTAGCACTTCAAGGAACCTGCAGTGGATACCAAGAAACCAGCAGGTTCTCAGGCTCAAGCCTGGCTGGCTGGCTGAGAAAGCGAAGGCTGTGTCCCTCACCCTCCTGAGGGCCACAGAGTGACTGTGGAACGAAAGAACATACAGTCGTATCTTGGATTCTGGACGCCTTGCGAATCAAACATTTTGGTTCCTGATTGCTGCCAACCCGGAAGTAAGTGTTCCGGTTTGTGGACGTTCTTTGGAACCCAAACGTCCAACGCAGCTTCCGCAGCTTCCAATTGGCTGCAGGAGCTTCCTGCAGCCAATCAGAAGCCATGCCTTGGTTTCCGAACTTTTTGGAAGCTGAACAGACTTCCGGAACGGATTCCGTTCGACTTCCAAGGTACCACTTTACACACTTTGTGCTTGCAGGTGGTGGCAGTGAGGAAGCATCACCAGAACAGCTTCTTTTCCATGGAGTGGGCAGGGGAGAGAGCAGCAGCCTAACATTTCATCATTTGTTTTTATTTCATTACTTTTACATCTTGCCATTCTTCCCAAGAGCCAAAAAATGCAGACGTGGTTTTCCCCCCTTCCTGTTTCACCCTCACAACATTTCTGTGAGGTAGGCCACCCCAAGAGGCCATCACGGGGTCAAGACCTTCCCTGACACCAACTCACCGGGTCAAAGACCAGCATCCGACAGAGCAGATGGACAGCTTCGTGGGTGGCTTCTCCAGAGAGCATGTAAAGGACAGACAGCGACGGCTGGAAGGAGACAGAGAGGGCTGAGTCTGCGAAGAGGGGCACATGCCTGGCACCATTCTCTTCCTCTTTCCCTCCCTCACAGTTCCCCCCTCCCAACAGACAGTCCCAGCTGTACTCACTGGCTTGTGGTTGCCACGCAGAATGTGGGCCCGAGCCCCCTCACAGGCTGAATGGAGGGCGGCCACAGGAGGAGTCCCCAGGAGGTCTGTGATCAGGTCCAGCTGCCGACCGCAGAACAGTGCAAAGGAGCCACGAGGCCGGAAGGGAGAAAGAGGGAGCGGCAAGAGGGAACAGGAAAGAAAGAAATTTACTGCTCCTGCGTTATGATCAGCTACAGAGTCCCTCCGCCTTGAATGCCCACAGGTACAGTCCATTACGTTGCCAGCCAAAGACGGGGCCTTCTCAGTGGTGGCCCTGCAGTTGCGGAACTCCCTCCCTATGGAACTATCAAAGGCACTTCCAAATACACGTCTTCAAAAGCAGCTGGAAATCCAGCCTGCCTTTCCGTTTTTAATCACACCGATTCCTGATTCTTACGATGCCAGATTTTTAATGTGTGCTTTTGTTTTCTAAACCCATTCAAAAGTATCTCAATCGGACCTCCTTTAGTTGCACGCCAGTCCCAGGTTTAATCTCTAGGCTGAGGTGGGAACGCCCCTGGTCCGCAGCCCTGGAGAAGTTGCTTCCAGATTGTGAAGGCAGTACTGAGTGAGATGGACGAGTGGTGAGACCAAGAGCAGCCAATGGGACAGGACTCTGGCTGATGCATCCATCTGCCCCCACCCTCATTGCCCTGCCTCACCCCAGTGCCTTCCAGGCACCTGGTGTCAACTTGGGAGTGATCAACATCCTTAGAAGCCTAATATGCAATGTCATTTTGATGTCACCCATCTTTAAGGAAAATGAGAATTTGTCTTTTTCGCATTGTAGGTGGATGGATGGATGGATTGCTGTTTGGTGCCCACTGGTGGCCGTTTTGTAGAATTACAAACAACGGTGATATGGGACTCAGCTGCACTGGCAAAGATTTTATATGCATTGTTTATGCATTCTAAGACTGTGCCACCAGATGGCGCTGTGGAGTCCTGTTTTGCCAACCTGATTTTCTCATACCAAGTTTACAACACATTTAATTGAAATGCTTCTAGATCCAGCCACACTCTTTGCCACCAACAGCTTCCCGCCCTTTCCCCAATCCTGGCTTTCTATACATTACCTGCTGAATTGGGCTCTGGGCCTGAAAGAGGATACGCCTGCCCAACAGTTCAGCGAAGATGCAGCCCACCGACCAAATATCAATTGGGCGTCCGTAGTGCCTGGTCCCCATCAGGATCTCAGGGGCCCGGTAATATTGAGTTACCACTTCTTGAGTCATGTGCTGGGACTCATCTGGCTCCTCTACCCGGGCCAAGCCAAAATCGCAGATCTGAAGGGAAGACAAGGACTGTGTCAAGCGCTAGAAGGAAGACAAAGATCATAGACATCGGCCCAAAGTCCTCTCCAACTTCAGTCTGGTGTGCAGTGCCCCCTGGTGGAATGAACTGACTTCCTTCAAAGCCACAAGTGACCCTGATTCCATTAGATGCCTTCTTCTTTTTTTAAAAGATATTTATTGGGATTTTCCATCTTAATACATTAAAAAATCAAAAAAGAAAAAAAACAAAAAAGTTAAAAACACATAAAGTTTACAATCCTTATTTTCAATAACATATTTCCCTGACTTCCCCACACCTCCCCTTCTTGTATTCCAATTCAAATTGTTAGTTCAACAAGTTCTTGTCCCCAATTTTTAACCTTTTTATATTTAATTCATTTTAGAGAAAACAATTTTAACTTATAAACATCAATATTTGTACATCAGTACTCATTCTTAAAACCTTTTTCTAAAGTCGACCCAAATTCCCTTCCACGAATTCCCCCATGCCTTCTTAGACTGCAAGCCTGAGAGCAAGAGCTGTGTTATTTCTATGGACCTACAAGTCGCCGTGGGAGCTTTTTCCAGTTAAAGGAGGGGGGGCATTGATGCTTCGAATAAAGAAAGAATCATTTGGCACAAAGTTTCCCTTCTTCACAAATGGTCACAATCTGAACAGACGTTTTCAGTGAGCAAGCAACAACCATGAGATATCCTGTTTAGTAGGGTTGCTATACATCCGGAATTTCCCCGACACAGCCGGGAGTTGGCCGGTGGGAACTGCGTCCAGGAGGAAATCCCTTAAATGTCCGGGAAAATCCGGACGCATGGCAACCCATATCGGAAGTTATTGAATTTCTTGGGGAAAAATAGCTCTGAAACCTGAAAATTTTTTTTGCTCAACTAGCTCAACAACTTGGGCCAAAAAACAAAACAAAAAACCAATTTGCCTTAAAAAGCTCAACAACTTTACTGTCCGGATTTTCCCTTTCTGAAATATGGCAAACCTATGATTAGCAATCACAATATTAATTAGTGGGATCAGAGACAATTGCACCCTAAGGGCTCCCCCTAGAGGCTACAAGGCTGAATTACCTTGAGGACACAGTTGCTGTTGACCAGCAAATTCCCAGGTTTGATGTCCCGATGGAGAACACCGGCAGAGTGCAAATATTTCAGCCCTGGCGGAGAGAGAGAAAAGAATTCGCAATGTCACAAAACGTGCCTGCTACAAATGGGCTGACTGAAGCAAAAGGGGAAAGGGCTGAGATGTTTGTTTAGAGTGGCTCCAATTATTTTTTTTAAAAAAGATATATACAGTGGTACCTCAGGTTAAGTACTGAACTCGTTCCTGAGGTCCGTTCTTAACCTGAAACTGTTCTAAACCTGAAGCACCACTTTAGCTAATGGGGCCTCCTGCTGCCGCCGCGCCGCCGGAGCACGATTTCTGTTCTCATCCTGAAGCAAAGTTCTTAACCCGAAGCACTATTTCTGGGTTAGCGGAGTGTGTAACCTGAAGCGTATGTGCAACTACTTATAAAAACTAGAGGGCTAGCACTATCTTAAAAGAGGCATTTTTCCTGCATCCATTTTTTTCTCTTACAAAGCAGGTAATGCCTCTTCTAAAATGGCATGCTTGTGTGATGCAAAAACAAAGGAAAGTACGCTTCTGGCTTCAGAACTATCATTTTACCCATATGCCAGCATTATTGATAAATCAATTAACAACATACAATTAATGGACTAAAAACTGTGGTTAATCTGGTTTTCAGCTCTGCAAAGAACAAAAACCTCAGAGAAGGAAGGAAGGAAGTGATTGAAAGGCGGTAAAAAGTACATGAAGCGTGATAGAACGAGGTTGAGAAAGAACTGAGAAAGCGCAGGTGAGGGACAGAAGAAAATAGCAATAAAAGTCAAAAGGGAAGAGAAGCATGAAGGAGAGGAGAATAATTTAAGAAGGTGGAAGGAAGACATATTCGAGGGATGGAACTTCAGAAATGGGACATCAACCCTCCTACAATAAAAGATTGTGGCATCTCCACATCCTACAGAGATCCTCTGGTGGGAACTTCTAGTGGCTTCTCATACCCCTGAGGTTCAGTTGGCCTTGACTATGGACCAACCCTCGATGTGGCAGGCGCTGTGCTGTGGAACTCCCTGCCACTAGAAGTTCAGCAGGAATCATCCGTCTCTACTTGCCACGGTAATGGTGTCATGAAAACAGAGTTATTCAGATGAGCCTTTGAAACATGATTCCCATCCCCTAACGAGCTTTTATTGTTGTTTTTCTAGAAGCTACTGTAATTTAGTGTGTTGCATACTGACTGCCTTGCGGCATATTGTTAATGAAAAACTCACTTTAGAAATGTTTTGGTACTCACCCCTGAGGATCTGATACAGAAAGACCTTGATATGGTCAGCGCTGAGAGGTTGTGGAGACACAATGACTTTGTGAAGGTCACTTTGCATCAACTCAGTGATGACGTAACTGGTGGACATCGTCAAGGAGGATGCGGGAGATGAGACCAGAGAACGACCAGGTATCTGAGTGCCCAGCCCCTTCCCATCGTAAGCAAAAAAGAAAAATTGGTTCTCCGCCATTTAGTTGAACCAACTGCTTCCAGCAAAATTAGGAGGCAGAAAGCACAGAGCACACAAAGGCAAGGACAAGGCAAAATTAAGGTAAGTCTAAAAAAAAATAATTATACAGATGGACCACCGTGCAGATCAAAGACAGGTAAAAAGAAAGTAAAACACGCTGCAAAATGAAAGAATGTCATCAAGACAATTGAAACGATGGAAAAGGCCAACGCTGGCTGTAAAAGAGACATCAAGAATGAAAGGGGACGGATTATTGAAAACAAAAGCGGAACTAATGGAGGTTACAATTGGGGAGGACAGACAAATAGTGTTAACAGCAGAAGGAAACAAAATAAGAAGAAACAGGCAGGGGAATGAATGATGATATTCTTGAAAGCAAATAGGTTACAGGAAAAGAAAGGAACTGAGGAGTGAAAGGAAAACGAAGACGATACAAAGAAAGGGACTGAAATGGAGCCGAGAAGAAGCCGTGAAACAATTGCATGGGGGGGGGACGATGACTGAGAAATGCTTGACAAACTGTAAATTAAGGAAGCTAAAGACCGATAGGAAACAAAAAATAATTTGGTGGGGAAAAAGCACGGCAAAAGAATTATAGAAAAAAACCCCAAACCAACACAATGCCGGAAAACTGTAAGAAAAGCAATTTAAAAATAAATAAATGAACAAACACATAAAAGGGGTGGGTGGGAAGGAGACAACAAAAAGAAAATACCTATATTGGCCTCTCCGGCAAAGGATAGAGGTGGGGGGCAGAAATGATAAGCAAAGGAATGCTGGGAAGATAACTGAGCAACAGGCTGCACCGGCCTGCGTGTGGGACGAAGGATACATCTCCTCAAAACAGTCGATTTGTGGAGGCTGGAGAATGTCCAACGCTGAGAGGACCTGAGAGAACAAGAGAAAGAACATTCAACAGTTGTGTTTTTGTTTTTGTAATGTCCTGTCAGAGAAAGGTATGTGGGATGAGGTATCTCAATGCATTTCCATTACATCAGCAAACCAATGTAGCTGTTACAGCTCCTCAGCCCTCTTTTATCACTCAGGGAAAAGGTTATTTTGCTACTTCAGATACCCTCGTGAAAGACAGAGACACAGATGGCCTCCAGTCACAACAAAGTGGTCAGGTTTCTAAACGCTCTGAACAACTGTGTCCTGGAACAGCTAGTCCAGAAACCAGCCAGGGAAGCAGTGACCCTGGACTTACAGTCAAATCTCAGTTGTCAAACGTAATCCATTCTGGAAGCCCGTTCAGCTTCCGAAGTGTTCGACAACCAAGGCGCAGCTTCCAATTGGTTGCAAAAGCTTCCTGCACTCAAGCGGAAGCAACTTCAGACATTCGGCTTCTGAAAAAATGTTCGAAAACCAGAATATTTACTTCCGGGTTTTCAGCGTTCGGGAACAGAAACGTTCCAAAACGGAGCCGTTTGGGAACCGAGGTGTGACTGTAATTGTAAGTGGTAGCCAGGACTTGGCAAAAGATGTAAGTTCTGTAGAACCAACTGGGGACAAGTGACCATCGCATTATCAAAACCAACATTTATGGGAAGCGAGACAAGTACCAATGAAATCCCAAACTAGTCACATCTGGCTTCAAAAGAGGAAACCTCTCCAAAATGAAGGGACTGGTACAAAGGCAGTTGAATACCAAGAGGGCCAAACCTATCCAGAATGTGGGAACCACTGTATTGGGAAGTTTTTAACATTTGGTGTTTTATATTTTATATCTGTGGGAAGCCGCCCAGAGTGGCTGGGGCAACCCAGTCAGATGGATGAGGTAGAAATAATAAAATTATGATGATGATGAAAGCTCAGCTTGAACGTGTACCACAAACCAGGGAAGGTACCGTCAAGGTCCTAAGAACATAAGACCAAGTCAATGACACACCTCGGCCAGCATCCTGCTCTACCCACTGTCCATGCCATGCGTAATTTTATAATATTCTAACACATCACTTCTTAATCACCTTTTGTTTAAAGTCCTAATGCTGCAACCTTGGTTCAGAAACAGGGTGAGTGAGGGTGGGGACACAGCAGATGTGTATAAAAGCCATGCACAGCGCAGAAAAAGTACAGAGTGATGCCACATCAGGGCTACCGGCAGAAATCTGGATGGCGGCTGGCACTGACTGGACCATTTGCTCCCCTACCCCCCAACAGACAGGCCCATGGAGAGATGTGCTGACCTAGCAGAGCAGCCCAGCAGAGGACACTTTGCTGAGCCCCCCCCCAACCTCCCCTCGCACCCTCGGCACACTCACGTTGTCGTGCTTGAAGTAACAGAGCATTCTCAACTCCCTGAAGACCCGTTTGCAAGAGACCAAGTTCTGGAAAACGTTGGGCATCTTTTTGAGTGCAACTCGCGACCCGTCTCGGGGATCTGTCACCGACCTGAGGAAAGAAAAACAGAACGCCTTTGAAATGGCCGTTCACAGCTCCTCTAGTCCTCTGGCTCCGGACTGCGGAACCAGTGGTCTTCCTGATGCTGTCAGACTCCAATTCCCAGCAGACCCCAACGGTCAGGAATGGTGGGAGTCGAACACCCAGAAGGCTCCAGCTTTCCTGATCCCTGCCCTAGCCCCTTCCTTCCCTGCTTTAGACTTCAACCTCCTCAAAAAACCGAAACGGAACCCAGTGTCAGGAGCGAGCCAACAGTAAATCACACTGAGCAAGTTGGTGTTAACTCTTTATTAGCAAAACCCAAGATATTCACAGGTGTATCAGGCATACTGGGCACAGCAACTGACCTGTGACAGGTCTTGTCCCCATGGAGCAGAAGCTGAGACTGAAGGTCTGCGCCTCCCCGCAGCTGCCTAAGTCCCCTCCTCTCCAGGGTTTCCCCCAAGCAATCTGAGACTGCTCCTGCATGCAGCCAACCTCTCCTCTGCCCTTTTCATGCCTCTTCTGTCGTCCCCCCCACCCCCAGTTTTAAATGCTTTATTGGTTGAAAACTTTACAACAGAAATATGCAATGGATGTTATAGGCAAAATAAGAAATAAAAAACAATTATTCATTCTTTAACTAATACTTGCTTTGTACAGTGGTACCTCGGCTTACATACGCTTCAGGTTACATACGCTTCAGGTTACAGACTCCACTAACCCAGAAATAGTAACTCGGGTTAAGAACTTTGCTTCAGGATGAGAACAGAAATCGTGCAGCAGCAGCAGGCCCCATTAGCTAAAGTGGTGCTTCAGGTTAAGAACAGTTTCAGGGTAAGAACGGACCTCCGGAACGAATTAAGTACGTAACCAGAGGTACCACTGTACATCCATTTGTGATTAAATTTGACAAGACCTGTGATCTTCCCCTTGCGTTCCCGAATTAAGTTCCTTAAATACGCGCTTAAACTTTACCTTCTCTGTGTTACTTGACTTACTATAAATTTTATTTCATAAAATTATGCTACTTACACACCGAAGCTCAATCAACAGATTGATCTTTTGACAGTGTTCTTTTACATATACTCTGTATATATCCCACTCTCTGATCAATTTTTCATACGCAACGTCTCTTAACCTTGCTGATAATCTCGCCAGTTCAGCGTACTCTCTTATTTTGTTTTGCCATTCTAATTTTTAAAAATTTTAAAATTAAAAATAAAAATATATATTCATGCCTCTTCTGTTTCTGGGAGACCGGGGGAAGGAAAGCTTGCTGCAGCAGGAGAGGGAGACCCTTCTGGCTCTTCACCAGCCTGACTCATCTCTGCCTCTGGGCCTCCCTCTTCTCCTGCTTCAGCTTCTGGGCTCTGCTCTGCCACAGACTCTCCCAGCTCACTAAGCCCTGTTACCGCTTCAGCTTCTGACACCTCCTCCCCCCAGTCTGCTCCCTCTGACCACTCACGGTTGTCGTCCCACCACCACTCCCTGAGCTCTGAGCCTTCTTCCGTTGGGAGTTTCCCCGCCCGTTCCCCCACCAATCCTCCACGTCCAACCAGCCCACGACCCCCAGAGACCCCAAACTCCTCACTCACCACACCACGCCAAAAGCTCCATAGCCGATGGGCCGATCGGGCTCCGGCTCCACCATGACCGCATTGCTGAGTGGCGTCTGCTGCGGCGGCGGCGAGGCTAGCTGCACCCCATTATTGCAATAATACTTCTGCCCCCCACCTAGCCCGGCTGCTAAAGGGGGTTGTATTAACCCAGTAAGCGCCCCAAAAACATTGCTACAGAGCTGGGCTTGCAGGGGGTGATTTGGGTCCTGAAAAGCCATTGGACAAATGGGGGGGGGGTTAAAGAAATTATGGTTTTGAGAAAGGGGCTAGAGAGAGCCTGCGGGGTGTGCTCTTGGGTCTGAAGTTAGGATTTCAAGGCACCCTTGGGACAGTGGGGAAACTCTGAGCTGGGGGGAAATTTTGCGGCTGCCTATTGAAAGGCTGGCTGAACGCAGGTATACAGGGCTGAAGAAACGTCTGCAATAGTGGGTGCTCGAAAGTTTTGGGGTGTCCCAGAATCTGCAAAGGAGTGTTCTTGACAGTTGTATGGCCTTAGCAGCACCTGTTCTTGAAAGCTCTCACGACTGAGGACGAAAGGGGAGGTATCTAGGGATACCTTGAATGTGGAAGGATCTGGAAAAAGCGGGTTGTAGGTGGGTGTCTTGGGTTATGGGGCACTAGGGAGGCAGTTTGGAGGGTCTCAGATCACTACTTTCAACTCTCGTTGAAAGCGGGGGGATTTAACACAATAAAACTCTAGTTGTCCAATTCACGTCCCTCTATCAGAGATGAAACACTCCAGGGAATATCTCTAAGGAGGTTTTTTTCCTCTGCGACTTGCAGACTGAATTAAATGAAAAGGAACAATCTGTCAAAACAGATTTTAGGAGCCCAGGTTCCAGAATGTTGGATAGGCTGAAAGAATTGTTGGCTTTTATATCAGGAACCTCTGGGATTAGGTGTTTACTAGAGAGTAGGCAGGCACTCAAATGTTATCTCACTATATAACTGAGATTTAGGGAATCTGTTATTACTACTATTTCTGTTCTTTTACAAACAGATGCAAACGCTGGGCCCTATAGAAATGTGGTGAAGCAGCCCAGGCTCCTCCCTGCTAGAGGGACGGAAAATTTGGGGATCCCCGTAGACATAAATGGATAGTATGACCTATAGCTATGGGAGAAAGAAATTTAAGCAAGGCGCCCGTCTGGAATCAGGGAAGTGGGAGCAATTTCAGAAGTGCACTTCAAAATATAGGGGGAGGAGATCTATTGCCTTTCTAATAAGGTGGGGGGAAGGAAGAGGTTCAGGGTTGTACCACAGAAATCATGAGAGGTGGCTGAAGTAAACAGAAAATTCAAGAGCAGCAGAAATTCTGGACAGCGTCCAAAGAGATGTTTGTGTGATTCTCCACAATTATGACCAGCAAATGTAAATAAGACCCACAAGGGATCTCTTACACAGAGGGGTGAAATCACTTTTGGGGGAAGCTTATTGAGAACTGGGGGGGGGGGTCAGGAAAGTAAGATTCCTCTTTGAAAGGGGTTTCTGTTTTTAAATGTGTGTGCAGCAGACTCAAGATCTTCCTTTACGATTTGAAGAAGTTTGATAAAACCTAGGGGTGCCTAGAAAAACCCTCTCAAAGGTCAGCTGTTGACTGGGGCAGATGTTGATGCCTGGGGGTTGCTGATGGTAAATATTAGGGTGCTGGAGGGGGTGTTCTTTTTGGGGCTGGGGGGCTGGGTGTCTCCTAGTGGGAAAAGGTGTTCCTTGGAAATAGAATCAGATAATTTCCGGGGTGCTCAGAGAGGATGAATGAGGGTGTCGAGGGGGGGGGGAGAAGAGCCTTAAAGGAGACCCCCCTCCCGACGCGGAAGCCCCTCCAGCGGTGGTTGCGGGGGGGAAGGTGGGGCGCCCATCGCGGCGGAATGGGGTCCACCCCCCACCCGCCCCCCCGGGTGGGCTTCGCAGAGCCTCAGCAAGGCATGGGGAGGTGGGGGTGGGTGGGCGCTGCTGGCGCTGCTGCTGCTGCGGCCGGAGACAAAAGGGGCTCCCCGGGGAAAGGAGAGGAGAAAGAGAGAGAGACCCCCCTGCAACCTGCCCCCCTCCCGCCCCCCAGCCAAGAAGGGCAAACCCGAGCGAGGCGGCAGCGGCGTCTGGGCGGGCGGCGGCGGCGGCGGGGTCTTTGTTAGAGGCGCTGCGGGTCCATCTTTGCAGGCAGGAGGGAGGGAAGGAGGGAGCAAGGAAGGAAGGAAGGAGGCAGCAGCCTGGCAGGAAGGAAGGAAGGGGAAGGCAGGCGGCGGGACGCGGAGAAGCCCGAGAGGAGGAGCAGCGGCAGCAGCAGCAGCAGGGAGAGGGGAGCCGGGCGGACCCCATCTACCGGCCGCGGGGAGAGAGGCAGCCTGGCCGCCCAGGGAAGGAAGGAGGGAGGCTGGCAATGGAGGAGAGGAAGGGAAAAGGCAGCAGGGAGAGCAAGTGAGACGGGGAAGGAGAGATGGAGGCCGCCTGGATTTGGAGATCAGGTCCTAGGAGGAGAAGGCGCCAATGGCCATTTTCCAGCGACTTGTAGATTTATTTAGGATCATTCTTCTAGTCCAACCCCCTGCAATGCAGCTGGCCCGCCCGGGGACCGAACCTGCAACCTTGGCCGTATCAGCCCCGTGCTGTATATGGAACCAACCGGGCTCCCAAAATCGGTTTTGACAAATTGTTCCTTTTCATTTAATTTCGGTCTGAAATTCGCAGAGGGGAAATAAACCTCCTTAGAGATATTGCCTGGAATGTTTCATTGGATAACTAGAGTTTTCATGTGTTAAATCGCCCCGCTTTCAACAAGAGTTGAAGGTAGGGATCTGAGACCCTCCAAACTGGATGATCCGGGTGGGATCATCTAGTACGGCCATCTGCAACGCAGGAACCTTTCGCCTGAAGTGGGGCTTGAACCCATGATCCTGAGATGAAGGATCTCCTGCTCTGCTAATTGGGCTATGCCTCAGGTGGCCCTGATATCTGAGAAGAGGCATGGCGTAAGGCCTAGGACAGGTGGGGAGTGGAAAGGGACTGTGTTGTATCCAAAACTAGGAGACTGAAAGGGGCACTGGGTTCCTTGATTTTGTACCCATTTCCTCACACACACACCAACTCTTCAGATAGCAGACACCTATATTGTTATTACGTATCTTGTGTTTTTACTATTGTGATTTTGTGTTGCTAACTGCCCTGAGATCTATGCGTGTAGGGCAGTATACAGATTTAATAAACAACAATAATAAATACTAATGAAACACTGAATATGTAAAGCCGGCAATGGGTGCATGCATCAAACCTGTGCTGAATTCAGCTAAAGCGTGTTGCATGTTTGTGGCAGGGAACCAGAATCGGACAAGCCACTTCCCTCCTTGCCAAACCAGTGGCAAAGGTTGTGTTTGCCCCAAACTGGATCTCCTCATTTCCTCCCACGCACACTCACACAGATGGTCTGTGACGTGGGGACAGGGTGGGGTGGCATCGGAAGGCCCTTGTCCTCTAACGCCCTCTGGACATTCCCATGTTTTCTCAGAACAGCATATGCCTGGGATGGGCCAGGCCTGGCACCCAACCTCATCTTGGGCGAGGTCTGCCTGAATTGCTACTTTCCAGATGTCTCTGGTAATATTCTCAAAGGGCATTATCAGGGCACGGCCCCAGAACGGAGCGTGTCCCTCGTTCTTCATTGCTGTCAGGCACGCAGCAGCCTCTGCCTGCCTTCTCCACCATTTTGCTGCTTTGCGATGAAGCCACTAGGCCCATCTTAAACCCAGAGGCCGAGGAGCAGCCCTGTTAAGAGCTTTGAGGCTGAGAAAGGATGTGAACAGGAGCAGAAAGAAAACAAAGCACAAATCTTTTGGGGTTTTCATTTTCTCCTTTGGTCAGTAGTAGGGTGGGCAGAAGGGGGTGTTCTGAAATGGCATGGATGCCAATCTTTTGACTACAGAAAAAACATTCCCTTCAAGTAGAGAGAGCAAGCATGCCGAGGGGCTCACCCAACCTTCCCTCTGCTAATTTTCTTTAAAAAATAAAAATAAATCCCACATGCTTTTTAGCGATTTACCTCAGGCTTCCTCCCGGCTCTCCACCCTCCCCTTCTAGGCTCACAATGACCCTGTATTTCAACACACATCTCTTTAATCTTCCTCACAACAATAGTGTGAGGCGGTGACTGGCCCACGTTCATTCGGCGAGTTTCGTGCCTGAGCAGGGATTTGAACTCGGGTCCCGGTCTCTCATTATAACCACTACACTAGGCTACACCACCCAACAGCAGGCGGACCCAGAGCCAGTGAAAGGCAGGGCCCAGGGCCAATGGCAGGTGGAGCCAACTGGTTCTCGGGTTGTCCCCATCCCCATCTTCACTGATGCCATGTCCCTAGTAGAAGAGTCATCCTCAGAGAATGATGTGCTGGTCCCTGAAGGGAACTACATGGAGGAAGAGGCAGGGTCAGGCCTTGCAGCATCCCAGCTGTCACCTCCCGCTATGGGGCGCCCAGATTCACAGGCAGAAGCTGAGACAAAGCAGACCTTTCTCTCCCCATAGCAGGTCTTTCCTTGCTGTGCTCTGTAGTTAGAAGGGATTTGGAAATAGTGGTGACTCTTTGTTTGCTGTTTTACAGGTCTATTCTGGGAGAGCCAAAATGTCGGAGAGGGAGAATGAGAGAGTCGTTCCTGTCAGGGCATAGCTGTCAACTTACAGATTTGAAAATAAGGGACCAGCAGCCTTGAAAATAAGGGACCAGCAGCCAAAATAAGGGACCTGCAGCCTCACCTGTGCCAGGCACTCCAGTCTTCCTGTCCTCCTGCAGTCTGGTCAAACTCATGCTGGTAGCTTCGAGAACACTGTCCAACCAACTTTGTAACCAGAGGTTCAACTGAATAGAATCTGAATCACATGCACCACAAGGCCTATGCAGCCTCAACTTAAGATGGCTCCCTGGCCTGGCTTTGCACTGCAAAGTTTGCAGCAGCACGTGCAACAAAATGGCGTCCAGCATTCAAAAACTCCCTCAGCTTGCATTAACTAGCCACACACAAGGCATGCAAGCTCCACCCCCCAGTCTTTCTTAGACTTCTTATTGGGTGAGCAACACAGCCAAGCAACACAGTTGGAGCCTCCCTCCTCCCTGGCAGGGAGGGAGGGAGGGAGAGGAGCTGCTTCCTTTGAAATTTAAGGGACATAGTTTAAGGGACATTTAAGGGACATCCATCAATAAGGGACAGCAGCGGGACATGGCGCTGGAATAAGGGACTGTCCCTTCAAATAAGGGACATTTGACAGCTATGTGTCAGGGTGCAACCCAGAGAGTCTCGCCCAGACAAATCACTCCCCGCATGGCTTTCAGCTCCAAGTCTAGGCTAAATCCCTGGGCTGAGCCAGACTAGATCACTCTCAGGAGATTACCAACGGAGCATCCAGACTTGGAAATCAGGTGGAAATTCCACAATCACTGAAGTCATTCTGTTGTGGCACTTTCAGGTTTGAACCTTCCATAACATCATTGGAGAAACTTCTTTTAGTGCATTTTTTGACTTCCCACATTTGATTGGGAACAGCCTCTCAATGAAACCATGAGCAGAATCCAAGGCTGTTTGCATATAATTCTTTGATACGTATGAAGAGGAAAATCTAAATTCCTGATGGTATGGATTGGTTTCATATATTGGGTTCTCTTAAGACTGGGAAACAGATGGCAGCCAAGAACCAAGGTGCTGCTTAATAATAGGAACAAAAATAAAATCTTCTTCAAAGATGTCAACACAACGTGTCCATATTTTTACCTGCCTGTGCCATTTCTCCTCTGGATTAAAAGGTAAAGGTAAAGGAACCCCTGACCATTAGGTCCAGTCGTGGCCGACTCTGGGGTTGCGGCGCTCATCTTGCTTTATTGGCCAGCGTACAGCTTCCGAGTCATGTGGCCAGCATGACTAAGCTGCTTCTGGCGAACCAGAGCAGCGCACGGAAACGCCGTTCACCTTCCCACCGGAGTGGTACCTATAAGGCATGTGTAAAAGAAGGAACTGAACACATGAGTTCTATCAGCACCTTTTTTCAGTTTTTCAAGCACCAGATATTTCAAATAAAAACCAATGATTGTGCTATTTAAATATTCTTCATTTAAGCGCTGAAGATCTTCACTGGCCACACAGCTGCAGTAATGTGAAGATTGGGTGGGAGATCAAATTTCCCTCCATTTTCCAAAGGTGGCCAGGATACATCAGGGTTGGACAATGCTGTTTCCCTTCCATCTTTGGGGCTCCAGGATTCCCCGCATCCCTCACTAGGCCCCAGCGCAGCAGGTGGCTGCCGTGGGCCATTAAAGGGTGGGCCCGTTTGTTTGGGTCCCTCCCAGGAAAATGCCAATTGAAGTGTTTTATAATAGATGGATGGTGTTTGCCCAGCAGGCAGGTTCCCAAGATAAGGTGGCGCCATATCGTACTTCACGGACAGTATAAAACATGAAGCTCCCCTTTGGCCGATTCTGCAGAGCTGAGGCACAGAGCACCCAGCCCACCAAGGACTGCGCAGGCTTCAAGGTAAGTCGGGGGCTGAGCGCAGCCCTTTCCGCAATATTTTATTGCATTTATCCCACTTTTTCTTGCAGCGGCTGAAGCTGGCATAAAACATGCCTCTCCCCCTCCACATTTTAGCCTCACAACAGATCTTTTGTGTGTGGGGTTTTTTTAAGGGGAGGGGGTGCTTCCAGTGGACCATGTTTTCCAGGAGGCTCCGAAGAGGTCTTCTATGAGAACAAGGTCTTTCTATGGAAACTTGGAGATCTCTCTTCAAGGCTGCCTGGGGTTGACTGTTTGCTTTAAGGGATTTGGACCTCCTGAATTTTTCAAGACCTGCTGGATAGCTCAGTTGGTTAGAGCATGGTGCTGGTAATACCAAGGTTGCAGGTTTGATCCCGGTAAGGGACAGCTTCATCTTTTTGCATTGCAGGGGGTTGGACTAGATGATGATGATGATGATGATGATGATGATGATTTTATTTGTACCCTGCCCTCCCCGGTCAGAGCCGGGCTCAGGGCAGCTAACATCATAAAACTAACACAGTATACAAAGAACATAAGAACATAAAAAGATGATTCCAACTCTTATAATTCTGTGATTAAGCTGGCTGGCTAGCTGTTTGGTATGTGGCCCTCCAGATGTTGCTTGACTCCAAACTCTTAAGAACTCCATCTAGAACAGTGATGGCTCTCCAGCTGTTTTGGGACTAC